AATTACTTTCTCCTGCTTAGAGCGAAATAGTAAAATTGACTATTTTATATATGACCGACACATTAGACAATATTTCGCTGATGTAAAGATCGTGAGAGGAGCAGAGATAGGCAGTGACCACCTTCTACTTGTGGCGGATATAAAGATCATTATGGATAGTAAAAGAAAAGCGAAGGCATTTAAGACCGTGAATATTGGAGCTTTGGATGATCCAGTAGAGAGGTTCCTCTACACGAAGAATTTAGAAGATAAATTAAGAGCAACTACTTTCGACGGAGGCGTAGAAGATATCTGGAACAAATTAAAGTCATGTATTCTGGATGTTGTAAATACTGTATGTGGGAAGAGGAAGGTATCTGGTAAGGGAAAGCGGACTGACTGGTGGACCGAGGACCTTCAACGAATAGTTGCTCGGAAAAAGCTTGCCTGGAAAGCATACCTTCAAGATAGAAACGAGGAAAAACTACCGAACAGCCAGGAATGAATGCAAGGCAGCCGTTAGCCAGGCCAAGAAACGTTCGTGAGAGGATTTCGGTAAAAAACTGAGTGAAGACCATCGTGAATCCATAAGAAATTTTTGGCGAAAAATTAAATTCTTAAGAGGAAAGAAAAACAAAGGATAGCGATGGATCCCTGCTTACCGACAAGGAACAGATCTGAACAGATGGAAACAACATTTTCAGGAACAATTCTCCGAAAATCCAGCAATACATCACTGCCAAGAACTAGAGCACTCTACTCTAGAAAGCCTAGAGGTAATAGAAGACGGAATCCAGACTCTAAAAGCAAGAAAGACACCAGGAAGGGATGGTATCGCCCTAGAATGTTTGAAATATGGTGGAAATGAACTCCTTAAAGCCCTTCAAAGGCTCTTTCAGGAAGTGTATAATAGAAAGAAAATTCCGAAGGATTGGGAATATAGCATAATCCTTCCGATTCATAAAAAAGGCAGTTCAACGGACTGCAATAACTATAGACCCATTAGTCTGCTCTCTGTGGTCTATAAATTATATACCTCTATATTAGAAAGGAGGCTCCGGCGGATTGTGGAGGGACAGCTAGAAAGTGAACAGGCTGGTTTCCGTCCTGGCCGGCAGACTCAGGACCATATCTTTGTTCTTAGAACCATCGCTGAAAAGGCCTGGGACAGAAACAAAAACCTGTACCTGGCATTTCTTGATCTAAGGGCAGCGTTTGACTCGGTTCCTAGGAAAGAAATTTGGAACGCTTTGGTTGCCAAGGGCGTGCCTGGAGATTTGATTGAGGCCGTGAAATCAACCTACCAGGGGGTCACTGGAGTTGTAAGGATAAATGGCACCGAGTCAGAACCTTTCCCAATTGCGAGAGGAGTCAGACAGGGAGATAGTTTAAGTCCCCTCCTGTTTATTAACTTCATGGACGAGATCCATAAAATCTGCAAGCGTCGGACTGCATGAACTACAATTGGAAACTGGAATATGAGAACTGTCCTCGTGCAGAGCTTTTTGTATGCGGATGACATTGTGCTCATCATCGATTCCAAGACGAAACTACAGCAAGCACTGGTAGAATGGGAAGAAGAGCTGCTGAGGAAAGGTATGCAAATAAATGCCTCCAAAAGTAAAGTGATGATTATGGCGAGAGAAGAAGAGGAAGACGTCCAATTGGTTTGCAACGGAGAAATTCTTGAGGTGGTAAAGGAGTACACATACTTAGGTACCATAATTGCTAACACTGGTAAGATAGATGCTGAGATTTCGTATAGAATATCTAAGGCGAATCAAGTATATCACCAGATCGCTAGCAGTATCCTCAGCTGCCGTGAAGTGGATAATAATACCAAGATGCACATCTATAAGTCTGTATACCTTCCTTTTCTCGCCTACGGCAGAGAAAGTTGGACTATGTTGGACAAACATTATAGTCGCATAACAGCAGCGGAAATGCGATTCCTACGTAGATCGGTGGGCAAAACTAGGAGGGATCGCATTAGAAATGAAACTATCAGAGAACAGCTGGAAGTGCCTGAACTCAAAACTACCTTGGAGAACAGGCAAATAAAGTGGTTTGGACATGTCTGCCGCATGAACGAGGACATGGACCCTATAAAGATATTAGAGGCTCGACCCACAGGGAAGAGGCCACGAGGGCGTCCCAGAGTCTCATATCAGGAGTTCATGGAGAGGAACGGAGGTAGAAGAGGCAAATCCTTCAACCAAATGAAGCGGTTAAGCAGAGACCGGGAAGGGTGGCTGCATTGGATAGAGGTTCCTCGACACTAGAAATGGCATTGTGAGGAAGACAAAGAAAAAATTTGAGCTGGAAAGGAAAGGCTGTTTCTTAGAATCCAAACCACTTTCGAAATGATTAAGGGTCGCCCTGATAGAAAAGAAATTTTTACGGCTTGGGCTTCAGAATTTAAAGCACAACTGGAGGAATTTGAAGCAATGTTGAACAAAATTACAGTGCTAAATGAATCATTAGAGGAGGAACATAGGATTGACCTATGTCTATATTATTACTCATAGTATGGGTGCATGCAGCGACGAGAAGAGATAAATCTCTTTTAGTCCTCAGTGCCTCAAATGCAGTGTAATTGGTGATCACATGTTCGGTAGATTCTGGGACACCACAACTGGAGCGGATCTATATCTTGTCCAAGATTGTCTAACTTAAAAAAACCCCGTGTCCAGTGAGAAATTGAGAGATCCAATAGTCTGGTTTGATCCATCTGGCTGCTAGTCGAGATTGTATGGTGGTTCTTCCTTAGGGTAGTCCCTCTAGTGGTAGTGATCTACCACCTGTTACACTCTTCGATGGTAGTTTCTCACAATTTTGAATTCCATCTATTGGGCCATTCTTCAATCCTCAATCGAAAGCCCTCTGGAATCCCTGCCAAGTCTTCTCTCTTGTAGGCATATTTGATCAACTCTTCTTGCAGGAGGAGATCGAGAGGTATCTCCTCTGCTAAGATCTGCACTGCCTCGTGAGACTTTATCTTATATGCTCTAGAGACCCGCAGCAGAGCCATCCTCTGGATAGATTCTAACATGTTCTTCTTTCGGTTGGGAAGGTTCATTCCACCAACATTACTGAGACCATTTAGGGCGACTGTTATTCTGTTTGCCAAGTAGTCCAAGTGAGGCGTTATATTAGACTTTTTTCCAAATCTTATGCTGAGGTAGGTTACCACCTTACTTGGACTAATCATTTCTCATTGTATCTCCAAGGCGATTGGATGTTCCCTCTTAGTTGTGCCTCTTAATAGGATTGCTGTGGTTTAGGCAGCAGCCATCCTCATTCTCCTACTCGCACACAAGGTACCAATCAAGTTAGCGCATCTTTCTGCCTCCAGTATGATCCCTGGTCTGCTATTGGATGCCACCACAGGGGCCAAGTCGTCAACATACATCGTTACTAGGAACCGCTGCTCTTTTTATACCCCCAAAAGCTCACCGAAAACTAAGTTTCACAGAGCAGGACCAAGAACAGAACCCTGTGGGAATCCTCTCTGGACAGTTCTTTCAATCTTGTAGAAACTACCTCTAATCCTCACATGTCTGTCCTATAGGTAGCTTCTCAGAAGAGCATATAGGTTGCTTGGGGGTGTCATATCTCTGTAACTTCTGTAGAACGTGTGGCCATCAGACGTTGTCAAAAGCGGATGATATGTCAATGAGTAACATTATGACAAACCATGATGTCATGACATCATGACATTCTCTCTTCAACATCTCTGTGCACTCCCAGAAGTGTATTTACGGTTCCCTTTCCCCTTAAGTGAATCCGAAATGCTGTGGATCGCTCTTATTAAAACTGGCCGTTGGCTGTTTTTCAATTTTTGGTTTATCCATTGGTTAGTTTATAAATTGTTAATGATATAATTTCAATGATTTAGGTAGTATGAATAGTAACTTAAAACATCACTGTTATTTTCTTTATTCTATTATCAATAGATAATGTTTGGAGGAACCAATCGTTGAATGATGTATTACTTATAAACTTTTAAATTATTTAGATGGGATGAATTTGTGCCAACAAATACAAATCGAAAAGGTTAATTTATAAGTTATTTTTCCAAATATAATAAATTGAATAAAAAAAAAAATTGATCAAGCCGTGGTCCAAAACTTAATAACATTTTAAACACTTTTTTGACACACAAACACCTATCTTCCAAATATGAAGATTTTAAGACCAAGATGAGCAATAATATGAAGTGAACGACCATTCACCAATCACTAAAAGGGCACATTCCTCCGTGAACGACACATCTCTATTTGGCATAACTATTTGCCTTTCAATAAAGATCATAATCTGCTCAGTGTTTTTCCATGACCAAAAACAGGCTATGGAAAAAAAAAATTCTACAACTGTATGCTTTACATTTTTTCTTTTAATTTGTGTTCTATGATATAATACAAATTAGGCAAGTGTTATATTTGAGAGCTATCCTAACCTCTGGGCTAAACTGAAGTGGGTTGGGGTGTCTTTGTTGGTCATTGTGTCTCAGTATCACCTTACCAACTCTTAATTCCGTTTAGGTTAATTATAAATTATTTTCAGAATTTATATTTATCCATTTTGTATCACTATTAGCAATGTTAAATGTCTAATTATTTAAAATAAACAACATTAAGTTATTTTGAGGAAGAAATTTTGAATTGAAAGGTTTCTTACTACCTAAATACTTCAAGTGTAATTAAATGAAAGTAAAAATAATTTTTTTTCTTTCCATAATGTAGTGCATTTAATTATTTCCATATTATATTACCACATGCTTATTAATCACTATATTATACAATTTATTTGTACATGGCAATTAGTCAATAATATCCCTAATAGGATTCTCCTATAGATGAAAATATTTCTACTCAAATTAGAATGGTAAGTGAAAGTTGTGTAATGCTCTCACCCAACCAGATTTTTTTATTTATAAGATTGATATGAAAGATGAGTCAACTCTATTAAGAAAGAATAGTTCCTACAAATAAAAAGATTAATTCAATTTTATAGCAAACCTTTTTGGAATTGGAGAGCAGGTAGAAAATGTGTACATAGCCATAAGATCCAAGCAAGTTTCTGTTAGCTCTTTGTGAAATGAAACAAGTGATTCATCCATTGGAGGTTTCAGATCAAGCCTTGAAGAGACAGAAGGACGGTTCTCACGTTTACGACTTCCCTAAGAAAGACATCACATAATATAATGCCTGATTTATGTATAAATTTTAACATATAATAAACATTTATACATATGTATAAATGCGAAGTTCAAAATCAAAATTGTTACAGAGATATTAGAAAAATCCTAGAAGAAATTATTCTTGTGTAGTAAATATTGAAAACATATTTAAGATACCAAGAGATATTGAGTCCAAGATCAGGCGAAAATTGAGATTGACCTACATGACTTTAAAATAAAAAATCAATGCTAATAAACAGAAGTAGATTACTACACACATTGTCACTTATAGGTTAAATTATTTTATTTATATTTTTCAATGATTAATATAAAATATGACTAATATATAAAGTTTCCTTCCACAGGATAATTTATTTTTTGATAATTCATACTTTGAAAAACAAACTTAAGGTACCTTGAACTCTTGGAAAATGTTATGGACAGGCGATTAACCAAGTAGTAGGGGGATGAAAGCACCCCCTTCCTACGCCATGAGAGAGAAAGTATCTGTAGTCTACTTTATTCTTAATAATTAGGATTAATTTATAGAATATTATAAAAGTAAAAAGAGCTAGCTGTGTGCACAGCTGTGAATTTTGTATGCTGTTATAATTGTAGTAGTGTGTTATTATACAATGCTTAACATTACACTGCTGCATACACCTGTATTGCTGTAGTGGCATGGAAAGGTGAAAATAAATAAATAGTCAATAGTATTTTATTCTCAGTGGCCTGAATAAACAATATCTTGTTATTTTATCACTTTATTTGCATATTGCCTGAATTATTTAAAAATGTTTCTATCATTGATTACTTTATTTATAATTGAGGAATAACTTAATTTTAAAGGAATAAGAGGCTACATATCTAAAGCTTCAGGATTTTATATAGTAAAATTTTAAAGGATAACAATTTTTATCAATATTTTATTTAAATTGTTTTAAAGTGGTCTTGGTAAAAAATCCCTATTTCATGGTCAAAATGTGCACTAAGAGAAAGAAAGAGTGAAATGTAAGCAGTTATTTGTATTTTTAAAACACTGATCTAGTGGTTTGAAGAGGTCGAACACTTGAATTTTAGTACCTCAGTATGATCACTTATAAGATTAAAAAGAAACTAACTACCCTTTTTTAAAGCAAGGTGAACTCTCGTTTGATGGAAGGTAATTGGGCTATTAAAACGTATACATAAAAATTTGTTAACTTGTATTTTCAAATTGTAGTTTGTTCATTCTTTAATTTCATGAAAAGAGGGACTCAAAATATATAACATGTAAGACGTAAGAGTGTTTCTATTATAATATGAGCTAATTCTTCAAATTTTCTAACTGCTTCTCATTTAATGATTCAGTATTTTTCATTAAAATGAGAATTCCTACACCCTTACTAAAATAAGGAGAACTTAAGCTGACAGGTATATACTCATTATACTTTGTAGTTCGTATTGTGAAATAAAATGCATGATAAGTTGTTTATGAACACTTTTAAGTATATTTTGAAAATATAATTGGAATTTGACGAGTTGATTTTGGACTGTGGACAGAATAGGTAAGTTGAGCTTCGTGTTTAGTGCTGTTTGTGTTCATTGAAATTTTTTTTTTTTTCAGTTTATTTAATATTGGTTGTTAGATCTTTTGATAACGGTTATCACTGTTATAGAATTATTTCAATTAAACTTGTTGCAAAGAAGTAATTAACGTATTTCATTACGAGTGATACAGAAGAGCAAAGTAGTGGGGGAATTGAAATGGTAAACAAAGGATTGGGCAGAAGCGATACTGAAGGTAATCCTTTCAACTTATTCTTTAATAAGCTTGAATTCCTAACAAACAAAATACTACTGTTGCAGAAGGATTTAACTTCTATTGATAAAAGAATTATCGATAATTTTAATACATACAATTCAGAAGTTATGAATATGAAAACAGAAAATTTGAAACTAAAAAAAGAAGTTGCATCTTTAAGACAGCATTTTGCTGCAACTGATCAGTATCACCAAAATAATGGAATAAAATTAATAAATATTCCTTCAATAGAAGGGGAATACGTTTTAACTAATATATATAAGTGAATATAAATATATATATAATATAATATATATATAAGTGAAATATAAGCTAAAATATGTATGGACGAGGAATAATCAGGTACTAGCTAGACAAAATGATGAAACTCCTATAATTGTTATTCGCACTGAGGAAGATATCCAAAAAATAGCTGCTGAATATGCCAACTAAACTTCAGAGAGGAATTATTCTGGTGAAGAAAAGGAAATAAAAATGGATACAAGCGAAGCAAGTAGGTAGTAGTAGGTGGCAAGGCAAAGAAAGCTGTCTCTTCTCAAAAGTCATTGGACAATTTTTTACAAAAGTAGAAGATAGCTTAAATTTTAAAAAATGTTTATGTAAAGGTAATTTGTTTAGTATTGTTTATCTTAACATTGAAGGCTATAATAAGTTATTTAATGTAGATTCTGAGGTTATCAATTTTTTACTCAGTAATTCTGTTATTTGTCTTTCTGAAACTTTCATTACTAACCCAATATTTAATAAACTAACTTGGCTAAAGGATTATACCAAATTTGTTTCAGTAGCTTCTCAAAAATTTAAGGAAGGTCCCCCCAGTGGAGGTCTCATAACTTTGATAAACAAACATTTTTGTGAGGAAGTGACTTTATTTGATTTTTCTTATACATGTTCGTTTATCAAAGTTAAGGTAAATTCTTTTTCTTTTTTCATTAGAAATGTTCATGTGAGCCCTTTGGTTAATATAAATGATTGCATTCTGGATTTGGAAGAATTATTTAAGAGAATTAAATGAAAGGATGAAATTAATCAATATAATATAGTACTGGGTGGGGATTGGAATGTAAGATTAGGTTCAGGAGATGAAATTGATGATTTACTAGTAGAAGGTTCATATTTGTCCAGTCACAGAACTAGTTTAGATACTGTTCGTAACGCTAGAGACAAAAAACTATTTAATTATTTTGAAGAAAATGGTTTAGTATTATTGAATGGTAGGATACCTATCGATATACCTTGTCAATTTACAGATATTACAGCTAGACAGTGTAGTGTTGTAGATACTATCGATTTCATTCAAGATTTAAAAGTTTGGGAAATTTCAGAGCTAAGTTGTCATTTGCCCGTGGTTGTCTGGTTAAATAAGGAAACCACAGAAATCGAGATGAAGAAAAAAGAAAAGTTCTATTTAGATTTAGCTGAACAAAATATAAATTCCTATCAATTATTAGTTTCAAATGCAAATACTTTGGTTAAGACCTTCGGGTTAGGTACGACTACAGTCGGTGCCCGCACTTCATCGTATAGGTGTATTCTCACTGATGATTTTATTTCAGAATGATTGAGTTAAGTCATGAAACAAAATCCTTAGAATTGGTTTAAATTAAAACAATTTACAAAAAAATGTTTTTCCCAATTTTTTAAAAATTACAGTTGTAAATCTTTATTAAGCCACTCAAATGTGCTAACTATTTTATTTCTTTTCCATTTTTCTAGCCACAGCAGTGCATGGCCGGGTAAAGCAAGTTACTTTATAAAAATAAATAAATATGTCCATAGATGTATATATTAAAAATATTAAATAGTTTTGGTATGTTTTTCTTTTCAAAAAAGCACTGATTTAAGTCTATTTTGCTCAAATTTTATTTATTAACCTTATTAGATTTCAATATAACGACCATTGCCGTTATTGACAGTCAAAGGTAGATGAATATAATGACCGTCGTCGTTTATAACAACAATTGACAGTTTTCTCCTTCAAGGTACATATCCACTGTATACTTATTTCCAATTTGAAAAAAATATTTACGTATTAAAAAAAACCCTGAATTTTCCGTTTTGAAAATTCCCAGACTTTTCCCCAGTTTTCCAGGTAGGTCGCCACCCTAGATTCAACACCTAAAAACATAACACACAGCTACTTATATTTTTCCATGAGCGACAACCACTTATCAGACTTGATTTGACTTTAATTATGTCACATTTCAAAATGCAAAAGGGTACATCATCAATCAAGATGAATCCTCTTTTAGATACACATAATATACACCATATCACATCAAAATTTCAGGCATCAGTTCATTGATTAAATGAACAAGCAAATTATGCCACTTCAATTTAAAATTTTATATAACAGTAACATCATTCAACTGACTAACCAGTATGGGTGATAAATATTCAGGACGCAGTATTTTTTAAAATTTTTATTTTTGCCAACGTTTCAACCCAAAAGGTAATCCTTAATATAACACAAACTTATATTATGATAAATATTGTACAATATGTTGTCGTAAGTATCATTTGCACAAACTGAAAATGTCTTTATTATAAAAATTATTCATCTAACCCTTGTATACTTGCTATCAAACTAAGCTATATTTATATTAATTGGCACCTTTTGCTTATGTTCATTTTAATACTAGTCAATAGTCACATTTCTGTAACCATATGAAATAACTCAAATATTGTGCACGTCTGAAATATTTGTCAGCAAATTATGTATATTCTACAAACAACAAATGTTACCCTCCCTTCCCCTCTAACCTTGTTTACTTACCTTTTGCTATCTGAAAAAGAACAAGTGGGAAATCCTCCCCCCCCCCTCTGACCTTTTTACTTACCTACCAAACATGTGTCAGTACATGAACAACCTCAGTGCTCAAACCACGGTTAGTAAGAGAAAATATTACAAATTTATATAAATGGATTATATACATTATTTTTTATTTTTAGTTTGTATAACTATTTTAATATGTGTATTACAATATTAGTTAAGATTCATGTGCCATCAATCACTATAGTTTATTATTTATAATTAGCAGTCGTATACTATTATATCTCTGATTGTAATTTAAAAAAAACATTTTCAGCCCTGAAGATGACCCACATGTTTGGGTTGAAACGTTGGCAAAAATAAAAATTTTAAAAAATACTGCGTCCTGAATATTTATCACTCATGATATGTAGAACAGTCGACTAACTTCCTTCATGACTAACCTAATGTAGTAATATGTTCAGACGAGAATTATCTAGAATTTAAAATAGTTTCCAGCTTAAACCATTTCGTTGAATAAATCAAGTGGTAGCTACTAGCATAATACATATTTAGTGTTTATTAAATATTACCTCAAGTGCTACTTATTTGGTCTTTTGTTCATTCAACTCAGTGAAAGAATATACAAATAAAAGCATACCCAAATTTCATAGATACTTGATTTGAAATTTTTGTGAACTCCCCCACCCAATTTCACTCACACCTAAAAAAAAATTGATGTGAAAAAAAAAATCTTAGCTTAGAATTATTTTGAAGAAAAGCCTTTCCTTTGCTAAAAAGAGTTGAAAAGTAGTAATAAATAAATCTAGGTTTGCATACATTTTTTAAGTGAACATTAAGTATATATAAAAATAAACCATCAGATAAAGAATACAAGAGAATTAATAAATATGAATTCAGCAGTCAACTCTTAATATTTTTTTTTTTTTTTTTTTTTTTCCTGTCCTCCCCTTCCTCGCCTTTAAAGGCTATACGGGGTTTTCCCGGGCCAGAGGTGAGGGCGGGGATTTAAAAAAACCCCGGGCACCGGGACGCGAACTCGTGACTATTTTTTATCACAATCTTATATATCAGGTTGCCGGGCAACGGCAGTGCAGTGCACACGCGTTAGCCCATTCGGCCACCTCGCTCACATTTTAACACTTTAACTTATAATATTTCCACTAACGTCTTAGGAGCAAATTATTGATACAAGATGCAAAGCTGATACCCATTATAATTTATATACCCCATAGCAGAAGAAATTTTTCTATCACAGCAATACATCAATTAAGAATTTCATTATTGGTAAAAAATAAAACAATAATGTTGACATGAGAGATGTCGAATTCATAAAATAAGCTATTAAATTTGAAATTTACCTGTTCAGTAAGGCTAGAACTTCTTTTTCGATTAGAGGAATCTTCATTGACTAATTCACTACTCCTAACTCCTAAATGCAGATCTTCAAAGCATAAAAATATGTTTGTTTTTAAACCCTGAAAAATATCCAATTTGAACCTTTATTGTTTTAGGATCTAAATATGGTATAATATAATATATAATTAAAAATATATTTACCGTAATAATAAATTTAACAAAATCTCTTCTGAATGGTAAACGACACTTCAAAAACCAAGCTGCAATTACATGGTGGGCGAGGGAAACTGTGTAATGATTGTATTTAAAAGGATTTGTGTAGGGCAAAGATATGGCAAACACAGACATATACTGATCTCCAACGAAGTTTGCAAAAACCTTAGGTAACTGAGTTAACGCTAAAATTTTATTTAAACATAATTAAATAAAAAATAATGAAGAAACTCCAGAAATATGTATAACTCATATCTGTATAAACTTACTTGAAAGAAACTCCAAAATTGGAATAGCTATATGTACAGTAGCTGAGATCTTTGATAAGTTCAGAAGAACTTCAGGAAGAAGTTTTACCATAGCATCTTGCATTTCAAGAACACATAAAGTTAGAGCAAAAACACATTGACGCGCAGATCTTATTGCCAAACCTATAAAATCAATTTCATACATTAGGTTGTATTACCAAAACCATAGAATCACATCTATAACTAAGAAACAGGCTATAACAATTATAAAAAAAGTATACTTGTAAATAGAGGGTTTCCTGTAAATAGAGGAAAATATTTACAGGAGTGATAGCAGACCTTAAGACAAAATATAATTCACATCAAGTTGTGTAAAAAAATAAGGTGATTTGATATATTGTCATCCATAAGTACTGATGTTTTTATTAACCCTAGAACGACACACTTAAAAAATTCAACTCATTCTGACACTCCGGGGTGTGCTAAATTTAAATTATCATAAAATTTATTTGTCATGCTCTGGAAGTCTCAAATACTTTTCAAATATAAGCTAAGCAATCAGGAAAACAAAAAATAAATAAATTCAAGATAACCTTAGAGAATATATTTTATATGGTAACATAAAGTAAAACGTTAACATTCACATTGCTAAAAAATAAAAAAAGGATCAATATTTTTCTATTGAAAATACATTAAGTTTCTAACAATTAAATATATATATTTGGAATGCGAAATATATACATAATAAAGGAAACAAATATCTTCTTACTTAAAAAGATAATAAAACCTATAGTGGAGGCCATTTATGTGACAACTCACTCATAACAATCCAAGCAAACTGTCACCCTGTGTTCATTGCTGTCAAAATATTTTTGTCTTCATATCTTTCTCTCTCGTGCAAAACAAATATTTGGCTTATTTATCCAACAGTAGTCGTTTATTTTTTAACTCCCAAAATTTCTTATACGCTGTAACACACCATTCATTTGAGTGTCTCCATACACAATCTTCTTTTCAAACAGGGCTCAAGTAACGAATAACTTAATCCAAATAAATAATTTCTCCATTTCATCTTCCTTTCCCAGTTAGCTAAGCTGAACAATATCACGCTGTTTATACCAGCATGGTTCAACATTCCAAAGAAAAATCAGAGAAACAGCCTCCTTTTGTTTCTTGCTGTTAACACGCTAGACATTTGATCAAAAGTCACTGTTTATTTTATCTTTATTTTATATGCTCCATGCATCTTTTCTCTATCTTTTAACTCCCATAACAATTTATGAATTTATTCAGAAGAATACATTTTTGTGGTAGTTGCCATACTAAAAAAATAGTTTCTATACATTACTACCGTCTCAATTGAAAATACCACTAATTAACAAATATAACATTAGAAATCCAAACCTGAATTCTTCGAAGTTTCAAAATGACAAAGAAAACATTGGGATACAAAATCCACAGAACAGTTGCATAGACAGCACACTGGTGTGTGAGGTACCCAGGAGAGTCACGCAAACAACACACTGGGGTGTGAAATACCCAATAACGACTTTTGATAACTCCAAATAATGACATAATCCCAAAAATGGAGTGCTATTGACTGTAATTAGATGGGCTATGTATGATGTTTATTTACATGAAGAAACTTAGCCAAAGAGCTACTTATATAAAAGTAAGTTAATCTTGAAAATGTTGTGGGGTGTGCCAAACTCCAGTGTGTCGTTCTAATGTTAAAAATGACTATAATAAATTATGGCAAAACTTAAATTTTTTTTTTTTTTTGTTAATAAGATTTTTGCAGTTATTATATTTGTATAATAATTCTCAGGTCTTAAAAAAAAATAAATTAAAATTTTGCAATAATTAATTGAAGTAATTTTTGCTGAAAACATGAGTATTTAGAGGTGACAGGATATCAAATCATCATATTTTTTTACACAATGCCAGGTGAATTTCAACTTAATTAATATGGACTTAAAACTTATTAAACAAGGAGGTTTTTCTAAAAGTGGGATATCTGTATAGTTGGGGGGGGGAGGGTGAAAAAAAAATTGCATATTATTTATAATTACTTTCACTTACGTATATATGTAATATATAGTAAGTACAAGTATTGCGATCGAGAAAATGTTTGAATCTGAGTTTTCGACGGATTTATACGTTTTGAGGTACCCTGAGTCGAAATGACCAAGTCCCGACAAATGGTCTGTGTGTCTGTGTGTTTGTATGTTAGCAGTCTAGCTCAAAAACGAAAAGTCCTATGAAACTGATATCACGTATTTAAGATAGGTATATGCCTTAGTTGTGACGGCAACTTTTTCCTTAAAATCGGCTAACCGGAAGTGCCACTTTATATCAACGCTGAAACACATTTTCACAGTTTTCTCAAAAACGGCTCTATCGATTTTGATTAAACTCGGCGTATCATTGTATAATTAAGTGGTCTTTAATATAAATTAGGTCTTATCCCCATTGATGTCACTTTACAAGGCTTAAATGCCCAATGTTCATATACGTCTTCCCCTAAAGTACCTTTAATATGGTTTATTTTAAAAAGATAATTATTTCGCATTATTCAGAGTTACGAAAAAATGCTAAATATAACTTTTGAAAGAATTTGATAAGTTAATAAAGGAGAAAAAAAATAAAAATGCAGAAAAAATGTAGCTATAGACTGTAGCGCCTAAACGAATGTACCGATTTCATTGAAACTTTGCTAAAGTCATTTTCTCGACACCCTTCAAATTTATCTATATAACATTCATCAGCGAAAAGAAGCTGAAAAAAAGTTACGAGGGATGGTAAAATTAAATTCCGAATAACTCAAAAAGTATATACTTTTTTGGGAATATTGTATATGGTTTTCTAAAAGTTTATGGAATAGCCTAAAAAACAAAAAAAAAATCGTTAAAATCGGATAATTAGGAGATAAGGTATGGTCTCTAGTTTTTTTTTAATACGTTCTGCTGCAATGGTTATATCCTTTGTTTCGGTTTTTGAATTTTGAATGTGTTAATAAGGTAATGCTAATTTTTTTAAAATGTATTTAGAATCCACCTAAGCAAGTTGATGGCATTGTTAAAAAAACTATTTCAGTGTACTTGTGTGAAAGAAGAAATAAAATATAAAATCATTTCATGGATGTATAAATCATGTGTTTATAATATTAAATACATTTACTTTAGTTTAGTAATTATTTATTAAATTTTAAATTGGTCCATAATTGTCTTATCTTTTTGGCTACATTCAAGGAATTGCTGTGTTACATATGTGTGCGATGTTATATTGCGTTCCTGGCGTTTGAGTATTTAAAGGGAAAAAAGGAATTTTTTTTTATTTTGGGAAAGTGTTTATTATGCTATGTCTATTGTTTAATACGGCTTATTGTTGATAATTTGTAAGAGTATTGTTATGAAGGGGGAGAAAAAAGAAAGTAAAATATAATATAAAATTAATGTCCGTATGGATTGATAAGTATGCTGTGTACGAAGCAACCCTATGTAGTAGGGCAACATTACTTTTAATAAAGTATTTCTCTATAAATAATTAGGTATTAAAGTTAATTCCAAAATATTGTCATATAACTTTTTAGAAAACTAAATTAGTGAATAATTCGATAGATCTTCTTTTTGTGATATTCCTCTACCATTTCATTGTACTTGTGTGAAAAAAGAAGTGAAATACAAAAATATTTCATAGATACGTTTATAACCCTAAATATATTTACTGTAGTTTAATAACTCTAGATATATTTAAATATTTAGATATCTATCGTCCGTTAATTCCGAAAAATCATCATGTAACCTTTTAGAAAATTAAATTAGTGAATAGTTTGATAATTCTTCTTTTTTGCGATATTCCAACAGAATCCACTTACAATTAGTGTGACAACTTTTGACCTGTCTATCACAGACACTGCAAATCTCTTAATTCCGTTTTAATAAACTTTGCAATGGAAAATAACAGTTTAATGACTTATAGTCGTACAATCCATAATCAATGGATCGAACAATCCATAATCAACGAATCGTACAATTCATAATCAACCGGTATATAATAAATAGGACTTTTGTTATTTTAATAGCATTTGTGTTTTTTTAGCTTTAGCTCAGTTTAAAATGTAATTTAAAACATTTTATAATAGCCTAACATGGCCAGAAAATAATTTTTATTCAAAGTTCAAAGAGTAAGTGAAAGTTGTGTGTTGCGCGCACCAGATTTTTTTTTTTTAAAGACAGAACTTAGCTTGTTTTATTCGCTTGAAAGTCCTATTTAAATAGTTTTAATAATGGCAAATTCTACTTTCATTTGATTTCACAGTAGAACTAGTTATTTTTATATCTATTTTATATAACGATATAACCATTTTTAATTGCAAGAGTTCATAATTCTCCCATTCATTTTTATAATGTTACATTTTAGAAGTAGCTTTCTATTATCAAAGTTCTTTTTTTTTTTTTTTTTTTGTTCTTCCCTACCTCGCCTTTTAGGCTATACGGGATTTTCTCAGGGCAGGGAATTTAAAATCCCCTCCGGCACCAGGACGCGAATTTGTACTTTTTAAATCTTCTCAAATCTGTAATCCGGTTGCCAGGCAACTCGTGGTGCTGTGCACACGCTTTAACCCATTCGGCCACCCCACCCCCATATTATCAAAGTTTTTTTTCTTTAATAAATCCAAAAATAAGTACGGTATTAAATCTTTAATCTCTAATAGCATAGATCACTTCTTCTTTTTTTTTTTTCTCACAATGAAAGAGCTTTAGAAGAACTTTAAGGAGTTCATTTCCACCATATTTCAAACATTCTAGGGCAATAACATCCCTTCCCGGTGCCTTTCCTGCTTTTAGTCTGGATTGCGTCTTCTATTACCTCTAGGCTTTCTAGAGTAGAGTGCTCTCGTTCTTGATAGAGAGGTATTCCTGGATTTTTGGAGAATTGCTCCTGAAAATGTTGTTGCCATCTGTTCAGGATTTCTTCCCTGTCGGTAAGCGGGGATCCATCACTATCCTTTACCTTTCTGGCGGGCTTGTTTTTCTTTCCTCTTAAAAATTTAATTTTTCGCCAAAAAGTTCTTATGGATTCACGATGGTCTTCACTCAGTTTTTTACCAAAATCCTCTCACGAACGTTTCATAGCCTTGCTAACGGCTGCCTTGCATTCATTCCTGGCTGTTCGGTAGTTTTGTAGCTTTTCCTTGTTTCTATCTTGAAGGTATGCTTTCCAGGCAAGCTTTTTCTGAGCAACTATTCGTTGAAGGTCCTCTGTCCACCAGTCAGTCCGCTTTCCCTTACCAGATATCTTCCTCTTCCCACATACAGCATTTACAATCTCCAGAATACATGACTTTAATTTGTTCCCGATATCTTCTACATCTCCGTCGAAAGTTGTTGCTCTTAATTTATCTTCTAAATTCTTCGTGTAGAGGAACCTCTTTTCTGGATCATCCAAGGCTCTAATATTCAGGGTCTTAAATGCCTTAGCTTTTCTTTTACTATCTATTATTATCTTTGTATCAGCCACAAGTAGAAGGTAGTCACTGCCTATCTCTGCTCCTTTCACGATCTTTACATCAGCGAAATATTGTCTAATGTGCCGGTCATTTATAAAATAGTCAATTATACTATTTCGCTCCAAGCACGAGAAAGTAATTTTATGAATTCTTTTGTGTGGGTAAAATGAATTCCCTATGAGGAGGTCATTATCAACACACAAGTTTATAAGCTGCTGTCCATTGTTATTTTTTATATTTTCACCTCCATGCAGCCCTAGAATGCCACATCCTGATCTAACATCATTTCCTGTTCTGGCATTAAAATCCCCCACTCAGGATTACAGATCTTCCTTATTCCTTAGCTTTATCTACAATATTTTATAAATCCGAGTATAATGCCTCCTTTTCCATAACACTGGTATCTTCAGTTGGTGCATACACCTGGGCTATGGAAATCCTATCAATGGGTATCTTAAAATCTGCCACGATCAATCGAGATGATATTGGTTCCCAGTCCTCCAAACGATCAACCATATTTGGCGACATTACTAGGCCTACTCTTTCCTTGGCGAAAATCCCTCTAGGTACTCCAGCATAAATTAAGGAGTAATTTCCGGCTAACTTCATTTCACCATTGCTTTTTTTCTTAACTTCACTGATGCCCAGAATTACTACTTTATATTTTATTTTATAGAGTTTATTTCATAATCACTCAGATTGGGAAAGGGATAGGTTCGTAAAAAGGGAGTGATTTGAAAGAGTAAACTGATTGCGCCTGAGAAATATCAGATGACATGAAATTCCAGAGGGAGACGGCTAGGTTAACAAAGGATCTGTCAAACGCAGCAGTTTGGTAGGGAGGAGGATAGAGGTTGGACGTGTGGGAGGGATCTAGTGGAACGGGGTTGAATAGAGGATTTAAATTAAAAGCTCTGAAAAATATAGAAGGGTCTATTGGTTCTGATAGCCTGGTATAGAAAGGTGACAAGGAAGTACTTATGGCAGTAGGACAGATAGAGCCACATCAAATCGGCGTAGTACTGGATAATATGCATATCTCCGGAGATCCCCCAAACAAATCGTATTGATCAATTCATTAGGCGTTTAAGTTTGGTTTTCAGTTTTCCCGAGAGTCCACCGTACACCATACAGCCATAGTCAAAGCAGGAGAAACAACCCCTTACCGTGCACCCCCTCCTCCCCACATCCCTATAAATTGCATATCGTTATGTTCCTTGTGACAATTTATTAAAAAAAAGCCAATGTTCCCACAAAAAAAAGTAAACGAACTGCCCCAAAATGGCGTCCAAACATGGCGGATTGACGACTTTGACTTAAGTTAGTTTTTTTGTTACTGAGAATCAGCATTTGGCTTAATTTCATCATAGTTGGTCTTTTATTAAAGTTGGATAGTCAGAGAATAATAAAACATGAAAAAATATTAAAAACTAATTGGTTTAGGTGTTAAAAAAAATCAGTAAAGTCAATTATTTTTTCAAAAAAATTTTCAAGTTGAAAATCAGGCGTCGTTTGTAATTAAACGGTCAACAATAATGCAAAATGTGCTCAAATAAAACATCTGGAGAATACATTTCTTTTTCTAAAACACTGATTACTTTTTAAAATATTTGAAGTAGTTCCGTAGAAAATGTACTTAAGCGGCAGAAAAGCGCTACTGGCGTAGGTGCCTTCAGGCCTCTACCACACCACTCAATACTCATAAATGGCTTAGTTATAGTGCTATAATAACGTTTTTGTTATATTATATTGATTGTATCGACGAACAAATATTAATACAATAATTTAATTGTCAAAAAATTTTTTTTTAAATTTGTTATTATTTTTTTTAATTTAACTTCCTTTATTCTATATAGAGGTCGCTTAAAAATGCTTCTATTATAAAAATTATATAATTATAATAATAAAACTTAATTAAAAAATTACGCCAAATGCCGAGTAACAAAAAAATCTCAGTAACAAAAAAATAACTAAAGTCAAAGTAGCACAATCTGCCATGTTTGGACGCCATTTTGGGGCAGTTCGTTCACTTTTTTTTGTGGGAACATTGGCTTTTTTTAATAAATTGTCACAAGGAACACAACGATATGCAATTTATAGGGATGTGGGATGGGTGCACGGTAAGGGGGTCTGGCCCACCGTGTACAAGGGCATATTCTGTTGATGTCTTCTAGGAGTTTTATGATGTCACCAGAGAAATCAGCCAGATCAAAGGAAAGATAAATTTGATCGTCATCGGCATACAGGTGGTATTGACAGTGCAGAATAGAGGATGGAAGTTCATTGATATAGATGGAAAAAACGATGGGAGATAAGGAGGAATCTTGTGGAACACCTCTGGTCAAGGGCAGGGACTCTGATGGAGGATTATCAGGGACTACAACATATTGGGAGTGACCGGTAAGGAAGGAATGGAGCCAATTAAGGGCACTGGAGGACACGGAGAAATTTTTAAGTTTAGTTAGAAGGATTGTGATCTACAGAGTCAAAGGCTATGGAGAAATCAAGGGAAATAATAATGGTGAGTTACTGTTGGTCTATGGCTGAGTAGAGATCTTGGGATATTTTAATGAGGACAGAATGAATGGAGTAGTAAGGTCTCAAATAGAACTGGAGGCTCTTCAAAAGCTTGTTATACTCAAGATAAATGGGATTGAACTAATTGTTCTAAAGGTTTGAATAGGTAAGATAACAGGGAAATTTAGTGGAAATCATTAGGAGTCACGAGATTGGAGGTTTTATTCAGTGGACAAACCAGAGCAGTTTTCTAGGTACTGGAGAAAGTGGAATTTTGCAACGAAAAGTAGATATGATAAAGGATAGGAAGAATGGAAGGAAGTGAAGGTATGATCAATTTAACTGAGCTGTTATCAGGTCTGAAATCATTGGTTTGGAATTTATGAATGAATTTGAGAACGTTGTCAGGAGTAATATACCATAATCGGTACCTCTAGCATTTGACAATGATGAGTCTACATATTAATCATTATTTAAAGACACTGATATTTTATATTGTCAGCTTTGTCTTTTCTTTGTTAGCAGAAACACACCTCATTTTAAAGAAGAATTCAATTTATTTTTTATTATTTCATTTTTCAAAAGAGTATTATTATAATTTTTCCTACTGTACATAGTCTTAAGTGTTTTATCATAGTTTTAAGTGTTTTGTCAATAGATTTTTTTTTGTATATAGCTTGTTTAACTAATATTTTCTTTACTTTCTCTTTTTTATTATTGTTTATTTTGGCCAGATGTAGTATTTTAATTATGTTCTATTTTGTTATTCTAAAGGGACTTCGTCCCAGAATAAAGTTATTTTCTATTCTATTCTAATATATGAAAAGAAAAAATGATCGGTATGTGTGGCAGCCAAAGTTGGTGCTTGGAGGTAGGAATGGGAGGAGCAGGAGATAAAAGAGTGTTGAGTGCATTGGAGTGAAATTGGAACAGATTGAGTTTGGGTAATTTTACCTAAAGACAATTTATGAGGGATTGCCCTATTGGCTTTGGAGTGCTGGACAGGAATTGATGAAAAAAAGAGATTTGGGACAGTGTACTCCAGATTGAGTGCTGTTAGAAAGAGAGATAATCTTCCAGAAGAAGAGTTCTTTTGAATAGCCATCTTGCAGAATCTCTTCTTCTCATACATTCCCTCAGAGCAGGTGTTAGCCAAGGAGCAGGGGATGTTGGATAGGTTTTGTTATTGGAGCAGCATGACGTTCAAGAATGGTGTGAAGGTGAGGGGTGAGTATTTCTACCAAGGCATCAATGGAGTTTGAGGAATAAAAGGAGTCCCACTGGATAGCATTGAGATTCTGTGACAGGGTTTCATAGGTCAGGGACAATATAGGATATCTGGTTGAGATCATGCGAAGATAGATGTATAACACTGGATACCATGATGATGTAGGGAGCATCTAGTTGGGAACTTATGTCATTCAAAATTCCATCTCTTTTCATGGAAAAATTAATTAAGTTTCAAAGGACGGATGGATAATATGATCTTCAAAATTGAACTATTATCTTTACAATGAAAGTTATAAAAAAATTGATGAAATGTATAATACTGACCACATTCCAAGGTTTTTATCAATTTCTGCTGCAAAGCTGACTCAAGCTGTCCATGATAAGGTATCAGTGATGTAACAACTGGAAACACATAACTATGGAAATCAGATCTAGTGAACTTTGGTGGAGTATTAGTTAAGCGGTCTGGTAGGTTCAAAGTTGCATCCATTACCTGAAAAAAATTAAAAATTTTCACTTTATAGCATTTATAAAAATAAAAAAATTAAAGAGAAGTTAGTTAGTGTATTCAGTAAAAAAAAAAAACAATTAAAAATACATAAATGATATTTATTCTTATATTTGCCGATGTTTCGGCCCAAAGTTCAGGCCTTCACCGTGGTTAAGAAAAGATTAGATAAAAATATGAGAAACTAGTAACTTATGAAAAAAAAATATATATATACATTTAGTTATTACATCATATCATAGTTTACATAATTTTAACTTTTTACTTATCTTCTATGGAGTCAGTATGTTCTGATAGATTTTATAGTATCTTAATTTTGTATTTGAATCTATTATTTTCTTTATATAACTTTATATTCCTTTTCTCTGTTTTACGTTTTATTCTTAGTCTATCTCATTTCTTTATAATGTTCTAAGACATATTTTAGCAATACGTTACCCCATTCATCCTATGTCTAATACTTACGTTTTATCACATTTTAGTTAGCTTTTATTTTCATTTTACTTTTCACTCATTTTACTTAGTTTTTATCTCATAATCAAGTACCGGATTTTTATGCAATTACATATGTTGTTTGCGTGGTCTTTTCTAACCACTGATCAAAAATCTTTATGAATTAGTACACTGTGCTGCAATTAGCCAAATTTTATTTTGCATATTTGAGGGTAAAAGCATACAATTGCATATTTTGGTTAATTTAACAGAATAAAAATATATAAATGAATATTTATGTATACAAATTAAAATGCCACATTGAAGATGCAACTCAAGAATACAATCGTAGGTTTATTTTCAATAAAAAAGACAACAAAATCTACCACATTTGTAAGTTCTTCATTTTCGTCTAAGTTGAAATCTTGGATTGAACTGTATAACAAAACACATGAAACAGTTTTTACAACTGATGGAAAAATTATTTTTTGCAACTATTGTTCAAAACAAATTGCAAGTGAAATAAAATCACAGATTGATCAACACGTCAATACAGGTGAGCTCAATTGTAATTAGCTTTGCTTTTTAAGCCCGTAATTAGTTCAGAGAACCAATTCTTAAAATAACCATCTATTTTCAAATAACATACTTTGTATCTATAGACATAAAAAAAAAAAAGTGGAAGGATTGGCAAAAATAATTGAAAATAAGGGTTATTAATGAAATATTTGTTTTATGTAGGAACAAATGCATATCATCGGTTTGTTGAAAAAAAAAAATCATCAATTTATACAAGTATTTTGATTAATTCTCTCTCTGCGAAATCAAAACATTGCATTGTGAACTTAGTGTGACTAATTTTGAGATGTAATATTTTAATCTTATTGTGATACACTCAAGGAATTTTTGCCGATCGTAATTTACAAACATTTTTTCAAAAGTTTAGCTTTATCAAAAGTGTATTTAGTGACTATATGGATAAAACTGATGAAATGTATGCTTGTACTATGAATCTCCTCAATCTTCACAAGAAATGCATTCTAATTATCGCTCGTGAAAATAAAATTGACTAATGTTAAATTTATTACCTAAATTTAGTTTTGTGTGTTTTATGGTTGGTTGGTTTGAGGTTATTATTTGGGGTGTGAGGTTTGAAATTTGTGTTTGTTTGGTGGTTTGGTGTTGGGGAGTTGTTGGGTGAGGGGGGGTTAGGTTGTTTGGGGGTGGGTGGGGATTTTTGGTTTGGTTGTAGTTTTTTTGTGTTTGGTTTGGTGTATGTTTTATTATGGGTTTGGGATGGGGTGGGGGATTTTGGTGTGGTATGAGTTGTGGGATTTTGGGAGGGTTGTTGTAAAGATGGTGTGGAGGGGAGTTGTGGGGTGGGGGGGAGGATGGGTGGAAGTATGATTGGATGTTAGGGGTGTGAGAATTGTGGGGAATGGGGGGGGATGGTTTGGGGTGGTGTGAATTGTGGGTGGGATGTGGGATGTGGGGGAATGATGGGGTTAGGGAATGGTAATTTTGGTTGAGTTGTTTGTTGGGGAATGGTGGGTTGAGGATTTAGTTGAAGGGATTTATTAGAGGGTGGGTGGAGTGTTGTGAAGATATGGGGTGGATGTGGTGGATTGTTGGGGATTTGAGATTGTTTGGTATTTGAATGGTTGGGAGATGATTTTTTATTGTTGGGGGTGGATGAAGTTTTATGGTTGATGGAAATGATTATGGGGAGGGGAGGGTTGTGATGTTATTATTGGGATTGTTTGGAATGTGAGGTTGGGGTGTAAATTGTTTTGAGGGAAGGAGAAGTTGTATATGTATATTTTGTTGATAGAATTGTGTAGATGGAGGGGTGTTGTGTGTGATTATGTGAAGATATTTATGTGATATGATGTTGTGGTGGTTGATGTTGTGGGTATTAGTATTGTTTATAAATGGGATTATGTGGATTGGGATTTATATTATTGTTGGGGGTGTTGGGGTTTAGGTGTTTACTTTAGGTTTGAAAGTTGGGTATTGTGATGTTTGTTGTTTAGGATGTTAGTTTATATGTGAAATGAATGAGAGGTTGGGAATGTATTGTAGTTTGTGATGGATGATGTAGGTATGTTGGTTGATAATGAATATAATGTGTATATGAGTTTGAAATTGATATTTTCTTATTTTTATTAATGTAGTATAAGGTTTTTTTTATGTTCTTGAGAGGATAATTTTTTTGTGAGAAATGTATGTTGAAGGGTCACAAACTTTTTCATACCGAAATAATGCTGATAGGCAGTCTTTACAATAGGTGGCAGATTGCACCTTCCACAAAATAGAGTAGAGTTTGTCCTCTTGAGTAGATTGCACCGCTATACTGCATTGAAGGAACCACAAACTGTGTACTCATCCCCTGTTCTTGTAAGACTCTTCGGCGCTTTTAATCGCTATAAATACAGAAATGCAACTTTTCTGTAAAGATAACAGTATTTCAATTTGAAACCTCATTTAGGCACCAGCTGCATCCCAATCTGCTGAGTTGCCGGTGACAAACTGTTGCTGCAGATCGTATTCAAGGGACCAACTTTGCACAAACTACTATGGATGGTTTATGTTGGTATGGGCCTTGGCAGAACATTCAACACTTCATTTAGGCTCTGTCGGGGGCACTTGAAAAGAGTTGCTTCTTGCAGTAATACCAATATTTCTGTCATTCTTTGGTGATATACATTTGCTGGTGCCATTGACCACTCATTCTCACAATAATATTGCAAACTTCTGGTTCAATATGAAGTATTTTCTTCATAAAACGAATAATACTGGATTAAAATTTCGAAAAGTCTAAATCAACTGTTGGTTTACAAAGTGAGTATTCTTCGTGTTAATAATTATTTGGCAAAATATGACCTGCTTTGACAAGTCTTAAATCCCCCCCAAAAATTATAATTATTTACTAATGTCACTGATTTAGCCCAAGCCAGATACCTATCCTTTCATGATAAACTCCAGTCCCATCTGAATCCACTTGTTTCCAGCCTTGCTTCTTCCTCGATTCATGATAATCCCCCTAGGCATCTAAAAAGAAGATGGCCATGTGATCTTCTCACCTAGAATTAAATAGGGAGTGCTATCACTGGCCAGTATTGCAGTTGATCTAATTAAAAACATAATATAAAAAAAACAAGATGAGTAAAAAAAAAAAAATTAATCTCGCAAGGTGAGGTTATGGACATTTATGGTGGTATGCATAGTCATCCACTATTCTCTCATCATCCCTAAAAGGCTGGTGGTCAGAGTTCACCTCTTCAACTTCCCTTCTACTGTAGAGGACGTTTAGAGCAGATAAAGGGCCCTTGATCATTCCCAAAACTCCCCTTTACTCCCCCCACTCACTACAATTTATAATTATTTATATTTTTGCTATTATTATATTTCTAAAATTATTATATTTGTTATTATTATACCTCTACCTAAATAAAATCTAGTGCAATGAAACTTCTTGGTTCAGACTATTTTCTGAGTATTTAGAAGGTAGCTTAAAATCCTTTTCTCCCGCTGAGTTATTGGTGGCATTTGCCAAAATTCAAGAAGATTTAGATCGAATTAGTGCCTGGGCCAACTTAAATGGATTAAGGCTAAATGCTACCAAAACTCAGGCCATTCTCATTGGTTCCAAGCCCCTTCTTAGATCCCACACCAACTTTCCCTCACTCTATCTAAACAACCACTCCATCACCTTCTATCCCTTTGTTAAAAATTTAGGCTTTCTCATAGATCAAACCCTTTCCTGGAATCACCATATCTCTCATATATCCCGCCGTGCAATTTCTACCCTCAAACTATTCCATCACTTCCGCCATCTTCTACCCCAAAATACCCGTAGACTCATAGTTTCCTCTCTCATCTTTCCCCACTTTGACTACAGCTGTGTGGTGTACGATGGCCTCTCGGTGGAACTGCGTGATAGACTCAAAAGACTTATGAATTGCTTCGTAAGATTTGTAATTGGAACCCCGAGACGCTCCCGTGTCTCCCACCACTACACTGAGTTAGGGTGGCTCTTCCCCTCCTTAAGAAGACAATATTTCCTTGGCACTTTCCTTTATCAAATCATTACCGATCATCGTCCTTCTTATGCCTACAACCTTCTCCAATTTAAGTCCTCAATCCATTCACTCACTACAAGATCCCGACCCTCTGACCTATACATCCCTTCTCATAGATCTGCCTCATTCCAAAATTCCTTTATAGCCCGCTCTGTCAACTTTTGGAATTCCCTCCCGATCAAAATTCGACATGCCCCTTCCCTGTATACATTCAAAAACCTCCTATTCCAATTCCTGTTCCAAAAACAGTTTGATACCAGCTAACTATTGATATTATATATGTATTGTGTAGCAATCATATAATCATAACACTTGGTAAGAGATAGTACATGCATTTCCTACTATCGACGTAGGAATTTCAATACATACATTTTTTTTTATATTTTTTTTTTTATTCAATTATAAGTAACTGTTTATTTTTATATATATATTCAAGTAAAGTTTTTTTTTTTTTTTATGAAATGAAGTCATTGTATCTCTTTCTCGTTCTTCATTTCTCAAAGGGTATGTTTATGTTGTTCAACCCTTAAATATAATTTTGTTCATAGTTCAAGTGATTCGTTCATAGTTTTAATTGTTTTGTTCGTAATTTTAAATGCTCTGTACATAGTTTTACCTGTTTGTATATAGCTTGTGCACCTAAGGTTTTCTTTACTTTTTATTTTATTTTATCAATTTTATTTATTGTTTCAACGTTCAGGCCAGTAATATTCTATTATTTTGTACATTTTTGTTATTCTGAAAGGACTTAGTCCCAGAATAAAGTTTTTTGTTCTATTCTATTCTATTCTAAAAGATAAAAAAGAAAATTTTTATTGAGAACGTTATTTTCTCCACTCCACTTCATAGAATTAGTTTGATATTAGCCAGATAATGATATATAACTGCTTCTTCTTTTCTTAAACATTGGCATGAAAACCTATTAAAATATTCATTAAACATCGAGTAAGTAAAGGAGGTAACTGGACTGTCCAAATACATCATAAACTATTGTTATCTTTTTTTTAATATTCTTATTATATAGATAAGTGATATTTATTAATGTTTTATTTATTAATACGTAACTTAAAATTGGACATAAAAATTAAATTTGCGATCTCCAAATTTATTTGCAATGAGCAAATTTTTTGGCAGCTTCACAGCATCCTATCACAATCCAGGAAATAGTTCAGTTCAGCAGGTCTCTTGGCCACAGCCTACGTAATCGTCGAGGTGGGCTGTACGGGTTTCTAGTGCTTTTAAGGTTTTCTGTCAGAGGATTTGTATTGTAAGTTAGTCTTTGGTGAAAGTCATTGTAGTTTTCTTTAGCAGTGTCTAAAATGGTTGGGATGTTCAACTCTTTATGTAATTTATCGTTTTCGACATAAAATGGTGCATCAACTATCCTTCATAAAATTTTGGATTGGAAAGACTGGATTTTTTTAATATGGAACGTTTTAGCAGAACCCCACAGTTCTATGCCATAAGTCCAAATTGGTTTAAGTAAAACTTTATAGAGAGTTAGTTTGTTAGTCAAAGATAATTTTGAACGTCTGCAAGTAACCTAATATAAAAATAAAAAGATTTTGTGCAGAGGAGTTACAGTTCCTCACATCTCTAGTTCTCGAAAAAGCTGATTTTATAGAAAATAAAGATACAGATACTGTTTCAAATAGAAAAAAAAAAGAAAAAAAAAAAGGCTTGGTAGGAAAAAGAAGGTAACGGTAGTGTTATCATACAATAACTTGTGGTTTTATTATTATCTATGGGTGACTCAATAAATATTTGGTGTTAAGGAAATACATTTCCTCATTTCACAAGTTTTAGAGTGTCAGTTCTGGAAAAAAATAAAACTCTTGGAAAGTATCAAGTTTCCTGCAATATCCGTATCAAGTGTATCAGTGTTCTCATATTTTTTGATTTGTTGGTGTTCATAGTGCTATTTATATGGTAATAGCTAAAATAGAAAGATAGAAAGCCTGTGTAAATCAATTACCTTTGTCAGAACTTATCATACTATGTTTTGCATTTATATAATTTGTTCCTTTCATGATAGCAGGTTGTAATGCTACAATATTAATTTATCATGTAATTTAATTAAATTTGTCAAACATTTTCAATTCATTTTTTCCTTGTAACTGACAATGACCCAGTTTTAAATAAGAACTACTTATTATTGAACAATTTAAAGTGATGTAAGTAAAAAAGTAAAGTAAAGCATTGATATCTTATTAGAAGTACTATAAAGGCAGGTATAGATTTATATAAATTTCTTAGTAAGGAATTACAACTTATTGTTACTGACATAAAAATAGTAAGTCTATAGTAAGTGAAGCATATCCAACAATTTAACACAACTTATACTTAACCCTATGGGTAGTTAGATCATTGCCCTCTTAATTAGGGCTGCCTACAAGTTGAAACATACTGGCAAGAACAGGATAATAAATATTCAAAAAATTTTATTTATGCTAGACATTCTTTATCAACATGCAAATAATGATCTGATGAGTTTGTCAATACTTATCTGCAAGTTCTTAATCTAATAAGTAAAGATTGTCAATTCAATGCTGTCATAGTCAAACCGAATTGTAAAAACTGCGTGCGTGAATCCTTTATTAGTGGACTGACTTCGTCTACCATACGTCAAAGACTATTATAAAATAATATTCTTTCATTAGATGATGCATATAAATTAGCATTATCACTCGAAATGGCACAAAAACATTCTCAAACCTATGACTTGCCTCCTCCTGACTTGAATGCTGCATTAACATCTATTCAGGATCCCTTGCTATTTCAATCCCAGTACTCAACAAACTCCTACAATGGCTTTTGTTTTTAAACCAGTGATTAGAAAATGCTATTTGTGTGGAGGAACCCCGATTCACTCTAGGTCTGTTTGTCCTGCTCGAGAGGCCACTTGCCAAGGAAATGCAAAAGTAAAACTAGTCATTTTAAGAAGGTTTGTAACTCCAGGTAGAGATCATAAAAGGGAGGGCCTACTTCTGCTTCCATGGATCTTATAGCAACCGTTTTATCCGCAGCTTCTTCTCCCTGTGTTAGAAAGGCTGTTGAAATCATAAAGATGAATGGAAAACCTTGTCATGCATTTATTAACACAGGAAGTACTCAAAGCTTCATCAGTTACAGCATGATTTTTAAACTCAAGTTAAATCTAGTTCCACAAGAAGGAAGAGTACAGATGGAATGAACCTCACTCACCTCAATGATTATGGGTAATCGTACAGCAAACCTTGAAATAAAGGACCACAGCTACCAAGAATGTAAACTTGCCTGCAATGAAAGACCTTTGTTGTGGCATTATTTTGGGCCATGATGTTCTCAAAAATCATTCTTCTGTACAGTTAAATGTTAGTGGTCCTATGGAACCACTAAAGATCTGTAGTTTGGCAATCGCTACCATAGCCCCGTTATCTTCGTTCTCATCAATCATAGAAGAATGGAAGTTAGTTGCCAGAAAATCAAGACAACACTGTTATTCATTTGATGATATAAAATTCATTCAAACTGAAACAAATCATAACTAAAAGAGGATATTATTGAACCTAGTAAACCATCTTGGAGAGCTCAAGCCCTTGTTATGATTAGCAGTATAAAAAGAGAATGGTGATAGATTTTCGTACTGATTTTCTCTCCTTGATGCTTACCCCCTTCCATGCATCGAAATCATAATGTTTAAGATAACTCAATACTCATTATTTAATAGTATTGGCCTTTAGAATGACTACCATCAGAATCCCATCAGGCTGGAAGAAAAGCCCTTCACTGCTTTCCAGGCTAACAATCAATTACATCAATTTATGAGGATTCCTATTGGTGTTACAAATGGCGTGACAGTTTTCCAGAAGGTAATGGATGATATCCTAAGGGAAGCAAATCCAACTGGGACGTTCAATTACGATTATACTATTCATATTACATTTAAATAAACATAGAAACTTAGATCTATGCATAAAAAGTATCTCTATTTAAACCAATAACTCCCTGCAGCAAACTGAACTTAAACAATATATACAGTTCTACATCAATATCCAACCAATCATTAAACTTTTAATAAAAAATTTTCTTTTACATTTACACACGCCAATATTGATTCAGGATTTTTATTTTATTTTTACCAAACAAACTAATGAAGTATTGAAAATAGATTCTTAGATATCAATTATATTTTCTTAAAACTATACAGAACTTAGTTTAAAAAGTTATAAAAATTTAAAGTTAATCCAAAAGTATCAGCTGGATATACAAACCAAAGTACAGATGGTATTAGCAATGAGATCAATATCTGAAGAATAATCTCTTTGTAAGAAAAGTGCACACGATTTCAGCATTTGGGGTAATTCTTGAAGTAACATCAGCATCACTTTCCAATCTACATTTAGACACAATATGAAAATTAATACATTAGTTGTTAAAATAATCAATTTCATTAAGATAAAAATAATAATAATATGAGGAGTTGATCGGGGGAGGGGGAGGAGGGGGAGGGTGCGGGTGCGGTCAAATAAATAATAAATTATACAAATAGTATTATTTAATTTTTGCCGACGTTTCGACCCACTTTGCAGGTCTTCGTCAGGGCTACAAAAGATACAAAACATGGTGAAAATAAAATAAATGAATATAAGTAGATATAAAATAAGAAGAAGTTGTCTGATAAATAAATAAGAAGATGATATCAGAGATATAGTGAGTGAAAATGTAGTTGAAATATCAAGTATTATATAAATAGAAGATACAAACAAAAATGGATAATAAGTATGAATAAAAATAGAAAACAAAGGAGAATATAGCATGTAAGTTAAAAGTAAACAGATTGTGATAAAAGATAAGGAATGAGTGTATAACAAACTAATAAAGATTACATTTAAATGTCGGCAAAAATTAAATAATACCTTTTGTATAATTTAGTATTTATTTTACCGCATCCCCCTATCAACTCCTTCTCATATTATATCACCGTCAACCATCTCTACACCAATAATAATAATAAGTCTAAACTATTATATCTAAGTATTGAAAAAGTTTGTTACCCATCCTTTTGTACAGGAATAATAGATAACACTGAAAGTTTATAAAGTTCTTAGTGTTACACAATGAGAGCATTACAACATTTATATGAATCTATTGTAACGTTCCTCTTTCCCTCCAAAATCAAACGAGTTTCTTTTTTAATATACTATTTATTTTAACATATAACATAAATTCTCAGGTTGGGTTCTGACAACTGAACACTCATTCAACATTAAATAACTATAATTTACTAATTACTAAATACACTAATTATACATATAAAATTTATAATTGTTTTCAAAAACCTTTGATTGTCCCAGTCTAAACTTTGTGGCTCTATCCCTCTGTCAACATAAATGGCATTGATAGCACTCACCCAAATGATTACGCCTGTCAGTGAAATAATCTCTTCTTACTTACGAATGTTCCGTTTTCTGTACCACTTCCTTAATTTCTGCTATGTTCTTTCTTCAAACACAAAATAATCTCCACTAGTGGCTTCTATCAACACTCAAACCGGCTAGTACTCCTTTTTCACTTTCTCAGCTTGCTGGCTAGCACCTCTCTTGGCGGCTCGTCACCTTCTGTCCTTCCATGAGGCTTGCTTCCCCCAACATCCGCACGCACTTCCTCCCCGTAGTTCGTGCTGTTACTATTTTCGCGCCACTATTAGAATGCCATGTAACGTTGACATTACGCTATATTTAATATAGAAAAAAAAAAATCTAGTGTGGTGAACACATCACACAACTTTCACTTATCAACCTCAGAGTAGATAGGAATTTTCATATAAAGAGAATTCAAAGTGAAAACGGCGGTTTAAGCAATTTAAAGCAATTAACTACCATCGAACAATCTCGTTCATCGAATTGTTAAATTTATACGTTTGCATCACTATTGCTTTTTCTTCTACGACTGTGTATAATACTAAACAATAGTAATGATTGTGGGGAAAAATAGATCATGTGTACTCACAGAGCTCTAAAGAAGCCCAGAAAGTCATTGGAAGAGTGGAAAGAGGTCATCACCCTTCCTCAGTGATTGTTTGGTGGAGAGTTTGCTTTGATGGCACCATGAAGCTCCATGTTTGTGAAAAAGGAGTTAAAACTGCAGCTGAAAACTATCAGGACGATATTTTGGAACCTGTTGTCAAGCCTCTTAATGATATTCTGTTTGCTGGAAGCCATTAGGTTTTCCAGCAGGATTCCGCTCCAGCTCACAAGATCAGCTGAACTCAGCAGTGGGTGCAGAAGAACATTTCAGAGTTTATCTCTGCCTCGGATTGGCCCTCAGGAAGCTCTGATCTCGATCCACTTGATTATCGCCTTTGGTCCAAACTGGAGGGGATGACATGTGACAGAGCACACCCTAACTTGGAAAGCCTCAAACAATCTCTGGTCCGAGCAGTTGATCATTTTCTCAAGAAGTGCAGTGCTATTGATGACTGGCCAGGAAGATTAAATGTGTGAGTCAAGGCATAAGAGGAACATTATGAGTAATTTCTTTTTTGTTTTACTCTCTATAGGTATACATTTTATTTTCTAGTAAACTTTTTGAAACAATTAATTTTTCTGTTGAAATCAGTATATATTTCCTTGTAACAATATTTATGACAGACAGGTGTGCCCAGAAAGGGGTTTTATGGCACAAGTTGTGCCATCAAAATTTTTAAGAACATATGTTGAGGCGTTTTTGAATTTTTAGAGGGGGCAAATTTCGCACTAAGAGACAAGAGGCAACTATGGAGCAGACCGCAGCAAGTGTAAGTGCATATGATCTATGATTTTTCTAATTCTATCTTAGCTTGCTCTGTTATTAAGAAAAGGTGAACAATAAAATATCTCGGGAGGAGAGGGAAGTGGTAGATTCTTGCGCTATCGACCTTGGAGGGGGGAGGATGGGCACCCCTGATGACAGATCTACGTACTAACAGAGTGTATAACTCACGACTCCAACAGATTTTCCACAGACCCAGAACGAATATTGAGACAGGACCCAGACATGACTTATTAAATTTTTAAAAACTATCAACATGCACAATAAAATTTAAAAGAGCTGCAAGTGACTAAAGAGTCTTCAATGTTAATAACCCCAGTGGTCGAAACACTCAAATAAATAAAATAATCTTCAGACATGGGGCAACCAGCATAATCATTGCCAGAATGAGAAGTATCAATATTTTACAACTATAAATACAGAAAAAAAAAAAATTAAAAATACCATTTTCAAATTTGAGAGCAGTAAGAATCATTCCAACTGCTCTACTAATATCTATAGTAAATACTTCATTTTGGGGCACATTACAACTGATATCTGTTGTCTGTTTACTGGCTAAAAGGAAAATGCTATGTCTCTTATGCTGACCAGCTACTCCTAGTCTATAATAGCAATCCGCTCTCAATTTCAAAAGACACTCGAGCATCTAAAAAAAAAAATATATATACTTAAATCAAACACATCACATAATCTTGATAATGTAATAGGAATGAATCTTAATATATTCATAACATAAACAAGGAGGAAAAGCATTGTACTGCTTCAGATTTCTTTGATGCATTCCTTTTTAAAATCATGTCCAATGTTTGGCATTATTTGAAATTTTATCTAGATAAGAATTAATAATAATACTTTATTTATTCTGGGACAAGTCCCTTTAGAAAAATACAGAAGGACAGAAATGAGGGCTAAGGAGCCTCAGAGATATGTAAACAAAAATGTTGAGTAATTAAATATTCATAATAAAAAAAATTATAAGTTACTTTCTAACTTAAATCAGTTAATAATACAAAATTGAAAATAAAGTAAAAATAATGAAGAACGATCTAATAATTTATATACATATTCACAGTGGTATCTATTTACAATTTTATGGGGACTGGATGGATAAGAAATGATTGAATAGGCGGGATTTAAAGATAGGAAGGGTATTGGATTGGCGGATGTGGGAAGAGATGGAGTTCCATAGGGATGAGGATCGGATAATGAACGATCTGTCGAAAGCAGCGGTTCGGTGGGCCCTTATGTATAAATCAGAAGACCTGGAGCGAGTAATGAGGGAACAAACAGAGGAGAAGCTCAAAGATGTATGAAGGTCAGTGGGATTGGATGACTTGAAAGAGGAAAGATGCCAGGAAATACTTACGACGTTAGGAAGGACAAAGCTACTTCAACTCTACATAAAAATGGGAAACAGAGGCATCCCCTGGAACAAAGCAATTTATCAAACGTTTTAGTTTCGCCTCGAGATCCCCCGAGACGCCCCCATATACTGTACAGCAATAGTCAAAGCGGAGAAAAATTAAGGAAGTGACCAGGAGCCTACAGGAAATAGGTGACGGAAGTAGTATAGACGTTTTAAGGTGGAAATGGTATGTTGGATGTTGGATACATGCTTTTTCCAGGAAAGCGTTTGATCAAAGGTTATTCCAAGGTTTTTGATAGAGGGATAAAATTTGAAGGGATTATCATTATCATGTAGGAATAGAGTTGGAATATGAGGAACAGTTTTAAGGAGGTGCTTGGAGGCAATTAAAATGGAGCTAGACAAAATTGACTTTACTGGTGTTTTTTAATATCTAAACCAATAATTTATTTTATTTTTTAATGTTTTATAATTCTCTGACTATCCAGTTTTAATAAAAGGCTAAATATGACAAAATTAAGCCAAATGCTAATTCTCAGTGATCAAAAAACTAACTTAAGTCAAATTCGTCAGTCCACTATGTTTGGACGCCATTTTGGGGTGGTGCAGCCACTTTTTTTGTGGTAATATTAGCTTTTTTAAAAATAAATAATTACAAGAAACACTCAATTATATATGCAATTTATAGGGATGTGGGAGTAGGGTCCCATTGTGTAATGGTTAGCACTCTGGACTCTGAATCCAGCGATCCGAGTTCATATCTCGGTGGGACCTACGCCTTCTTTAGGGGGCGGGGTGGCCGAATAGGCTAAAGCGTGTGTAACAGCACCGCTAGTTGCCTGGTAACCGGATAACAGAGATTTGAGATGACATAAAAAGTCCCGGTGCCGGAGGGGATTTTAAATTCCCCGCCCTCACCCCCCGGCACGGGAAAATCCCGTATAGACTAAAAGGCGAGGTAGGGAAGAACAAAAAAAAAACAAAAAATAGGGATGTGGGAGCATGGCAGGGTTGTCTTGAGGAACAACCAAACCTATTCTAATCTGAGTGGGAAGGTCGAGATTCATTCTGTGAGTTCGCCACAAAAAAAATTTTAGCCTGCCCAACCGGGATACGAACCGGCATCATTTGACTCGAGATTGTTCAATTTTATATTTTTACACACTCGGCCATCAATAACTCAACATTAACAACTTGTTAATTACTGAGCATCATAAAATCTTGTAGTATGCTGCAGTCTATTTCCCCACAAAAGAATCTATTCTGTTACATGACATGAGACTTCCCTCATGGAAACACAATCACTGTCAATACACCTCTCTCTACCGGTCGCTGTCCAAACCCAGCTACACTTGATTATCTTAAAGTAATCCTCTCACCTTCACTTCGGTCTACCCATGAGACATTTACTAGTCAGTACAGAGCATATTAGCCTCTTGGGAATTCTTTCGTTACTAAGCCCAACAATTTTACAAGCCCATTTTATAGGCCACAATGTAATCATCTCGATTATATTAACCACATTAACATTAACTCACCACTACACTGAGTTAAGGTGGTTCTTTCCCTCCTTTTGAAGAAGATATTACCTCAAACTCTTCAGATAAATAAATAATAATAATAAATAGCCCTGATAATATAATGTAAAATAAAAGATTTCCGATGAAGGTCCGGTAAGCGTGCCAAAATGTTCGTAGATGCTTAATGGTGAACGAGATTCAAGCTGTCAGTCAAAGACTCTAAGTCCTGTGCCTGGTTGATGAGGACAACCTGATGGCCGTCGTCTTTTCTACACCACACTGTGCCGGAAGCGAACCAGGTATATTTTATTTTCCCCGCAGCTTTCTTGCGGTGAAGGGCGGTGGTCGCGGGTCGTCCTTCTTGGCTCTTTGGCGCTGTACGGTGTCCAAGTCTAAGAGTCTCATGATTATCTAATGTTAGAAATTCATAAAGAAAGGATCATTTCAAAGTCGAGTGTGTGAAATTTATTGCTGAAGACCGAAAACCGAACGTCATCAATAAATTGGGTAATCTTCATTTGGTGCCGGCTTATGAGGAACTTATTATTCTCTAAAAACAGATGCATAACTATTGAAACTGAGATAACTTGTATTTCAACGACAGATTGGTATCGACTTAGCCAAAGCCTTGCCAGCTTTACATCTGTAGACAGGATTTGACTTGCATGCCTGTTGCCGTAAAGAAAAGATAAAGGCCACTATAGTTTATCTTTTCTTTACGCCATGAATGTAGGTTTATAAAAAAAATATAAAACTAAACATAAAAAAAAATAGAAATATTTTCAAAACGGCTAATTTTGAAGAAAATATTTTGGAACAAGAAGAATATACCTACTGTATGGACAACAAGGTTGCACAAATATAAATAAAGCTAGGACAATTTTTTTTCCTGTACAGATAACTTATATCCTATATTTAACGTGTTATTGTAGTAAATTATATTTAATATATAGTGTTCATTATTTTTTTTCTATTTAGGAAGTGAATGAATAATTTGTGAAAGTGATTATGCTCCATTCTGGTTTGATGGGTTTCTATTGCCAGTGGAATTAAAAACTTCAATGACATAAAAACTGAGGATAAAACTGAATATCGCCTTGAACAAGAAACAGACTATGATTCTGCAGATGGCTAGGGCAACTTACATTTTTTTAAACGAAGTAATTTTAAATTTAATTTAAAAGTTTTGTCTTTTAATTATTTCCTAATGATATTTACAACTGTATTAAATAAATATATCTAGTAAATTTGAACATATGGATATAATGACATGAAAACACTTGCTGAGTAACTACCTAATGGTAGCACTCTAATGATATGTCTACATTAAGAGATCAAGGGGCCATCTTCTTTTCAGACACCTCAGAGGATTATCAGGAATTGAAGAGGAAGCAAGGTTAGAAAAGAGAGGGTTGGGATGATTCTGAAGTTTCTTATGGAAGGATAGGTATCTGGATTGGGCCAGATCTGAAACATAAGAAACATTAAGGTCATTACAGATGGTTTTATTTGTAACAAAGTAGGGAAGCATTAAGGATTTTACGAAGGATTTTGGATTGTAAGGATTGGATACAAGAGGAATTCGATGGTTTAGTGGAGCCCCATAGCTCAATTCCATAAGTCCAAATAGACTTTATTATAGTCATGTATATGAGTCTTTTGCGTAATTAATTGGAAGTTTAGAGCGCGTTTGTCTAGTAAGAGCTGAAATAATCGGAAATGTCGAGTGGTTTCTTGTTGCTTCAGCCTGATATGAGGATTCCAAGTAAGTCGTTTGTCCAGGTGGAGTCCTAGGTAGCTTTTGTTCAACAGGGATAAGTGGAGTAATGTTAAAGGAAACTGTAGGACAGAAAGTCATTGGTTTACGACGAAGGGTAAAGGTAATTTGGTGGGATTTATTGGAGTTTATTTTAATTCTCCCGTTTTGACCACCATTCTTCAAGATTTATGACGTGTGATTGAGTGCAATTGATGGGTCCTTATTTACAGATAGGATCGGTATCGGTATATGTGGTGATGATAGTGTTGGGATAGGTAGGGATGTCAGCTGTATAAACTGTATAGAGGATAGGACTTAGGATACTACCTTGAGGAACACCAGCAGACTAGGTAATTTAAAAGTAATTTTTATAAACAAACTTATAATATTTTGGTAATGTGATAGAAATTTTAAGGTCGTTATTGTTAGTATAAACGTCATCTCTGTTGTTTCTTTATTGATTATTTTATATAACGTAGTGTACATAAACTGGTAAATTATCGACATGATTGAGTGCGTATACACTCATTTTTTTAGATGCTGCTTATCAATCGATGATATAGATAACTATATCATATACAATATATAAATAGGTAACTAGCATTTTATGAAATATAAAATAAAAAATTAAATTTTCTTAGCACATAATATAGTTAATGGTTAAATAATAACATGGATTTGTGTGTCATTAATTTGGGATTTTTGTTTATCAAACTGACCAACATTTTTTATAAACCTAATAGAGAGAGAGAAATAGGCAACATGGAAAACTCTTGGACCAACGGATCCCAATTTTGTGTTATACTGCCCCGCCCGTAATAAGTGCTACATCTCGAAAGCTTTCTAAATATTGGTCAGATTTTATTAAATCAGATTCCTACAAAAGAGTCTGAAACTATTTGCTTCTCAAATTCGTGAAAAGTTTGCAAAATGTTGTCAGATTTTATTGATTATATTATTGATAAAGCTCTGGAGCTCATAATCTGAGAGATGCCAACTTCATGACTTAATATGTTTTTCCTTCGTTAAAAAGAATATTACTAAATTAAAGTTTAGAAAAGCCCAAAGCAACTGCTGGTTTATAAAATGAGTATTTTTTATGTTGAATATTCTTTAGTTAATAATTTATTAAAAATAAAGAATACTTGTTGTTTACCAAAAAATAACAGACTCCGTAACAAATAAAAACAAATACAGTATTTTGATTTAAACAAACAAAATAAGCATCAAATAGAAATATCCCTATTCATTGTTGAGCAGTAAATATTATATCTATATATAATAAATATGAACAGACTTCTCTAAAAACTGCATAATCGTGTTCTACAGGTTCTAAAATTGATAGAACATGATCCCATCCCCAACTCACAATCTTTGATACAGTCCCAATGTCTGTTATTTTCAAAGAAAATAGAAAAAATAAGTTCAAAGCTCTGTTTTGATAATAAAAAAATTCACATGGAATGGTGAATAAACTAAACATTTACATTTCATAGCACTAATTTTCAGTATATCCATTACTGTAAATATATTTAGTCTAGAATATTAACTGGCCATTAAACCCAAAACAAAATGACCTGCAAGAAATTTAATAAATCCTTCTACCATAAAAAAAAGTAAATTTAAATGCATTAAGTCATTGCAGTCAAGCCAAAGTATAACAAATATCACATAATAAATCTGGATCAGTAAATAATTGTTAAAAATAATTTTTATTTAAATACTTACAATGTACCGAACAGTGATAACAGGAGCTAAAAGTGAAGGTTTTAAATAGTGTTCTTCGAGGTGATCAGTGATCAAATTGAAAGCTCTTATTGCAGGAATAGGTGGAAACTGGAACATTGAGGCATTTAGACCATTTACGAGCCCATGAGCAGCTAATTTTATATCTTCAGCATCCTCTTCTGTCAAAGCAAAATCTACGCGAGAGAATGGTCTATTGAGAACCTGAAAAAAAATATGATCATTGAATATGAAACATAATACAGCTGTACATCGATGACTTGGCAGCTCGATGTATATATAATATACATATACATAGATAGATAGAAGAATCAACTTTATTCTGGGACAAAGTCCCTTGAGAATAACAATATTGTACATAAAATTAACATTACATCTGGCCAAAATGCATATTACAATAAAAAAAACACTTAAAAAATAAGGAATAAATATTATATCAAATATATATATATATATATATATATATATATATATATATATATATATATATATATATATATCCTACATATAAGATCCTAGATATATATAAGATCTGTGGAGAGGCCATAGATGTAGGCAAAGCCTTAGGGAGGGGGAGGGGTAACTGAGCGGATAAATGCATTTGCATTACAAGTTCAAATTCTGTACTTTTATATCTTGCCTCAATCTCTTCCCTCCCCTTCTTCCCTGGCCTTGGAAAAAAATCAGTATAGCCAAAAAGGCGAGGAAGAGGAGAAAAAGAAAAACAAAACATTTCTTACTTATTAAGCTTTTTAAGTTATTGATGCGATTATTTTTAAAAGCTTGATTTAAAAACTGATCTTGCAGGAAAAAATGTTCTAATATAAATAATAAAATAATGTAAAAATATTATTATAAATAAAACAAAATATATTTTAATATCTAGATCTCAATAGAAGAAATTTTCCATTATCTATGTGTGGAAAGATATGGGCCTATTTTATGTGGTATGTTTTTATGTAAATGACATGATTTCTTTCATTCATACCTATCATTGATATCATGAACTACAGAAAATGTCCTTAAAAGTGACATAACATAAATAATTGTTAAAAGATTGATGGTCAGAAAGTGGTTACCTTTTCCAGAATTTCAATAACCCACATTGCACGAGCAGGTCCACTATTAACAAAGAGTTCAACGAGAATCTGAGTTCCAGCTGTCCTGATTGAGAGGTTGGGCTCATTTGCAACATTACTTAAATGATCTAATGCAATTTTAGTTAAGTCACTTTCAAACATGTGCCTGAAATATAAATCAATTGTTATTATTCAGAAAAAGGCCCACATACATAGAATATTTGAAAATAAAATAAAATGTCAGTATTAAAGAATATCATTTAATTACAAAGCCATGAAATTTAAATTTAATAAATTCACTAGAATTTCAGCACTAATTTACTAATTCAATATTAAACATAAATAATAAGTAACTATTTAATATTATCTAATTTCCATCCTGTTTTCAGATTTTTCTGGAGCTACAAAGACAAAGCCACAAAACATTAAATCATATTTGGTTATTTTTTTATTTTACTTTTATGTACTTTCACTCTACATCTTAATTTTGGTTTTAAGATTGCAATATAAAAATTAATTCTTTGGAAATTAGCGAAATGAAATCTTCATATATTTTATTTTTCAATGAGAATATTCAACAATTGTTATCTATACTGTTTTGGGGAAAAAACATTCATTTCAATTTAAGTATAAAATGACATAACAATGAACAACCTATGCTCGCTTTATCTTAAAAAAAAAAAAAAAAAAAAACATGTACCACTACTCCCCATGAAGGGTCTTAGTTCATTACTTTGTAAGAAGATACTGTTTCTTGGTCAATGGTTATGCAAGGAGGTGATCTGACTATAAGCACGCTCAAAGTACACATCAAAAAATGCTTTATTTTAACATCAGAAATACTATTTTCTTTTTCTTGGCAATGTTTTTAAGCTGCAGTATTATTACTTTCACTTATCTATATACATATAATATATGAAAAAAGAAAGTATGAAATCTTTTAGATGAAAATTTTAGAATCTGAGTTCTCAACAGAAATACATGTTTTGAGGTCTCCTGAGTTCAAATAACCAAGTACTACAAAATGGTCTGTATGTGTGTGTTTATGTGAGTAGTCTAACTCAAAAACGAAAAATCATATGGAATTGAAAATACATTTTTATGTTAGGTTTATGCCGGGATGTAAATGCAACTGTTTCCTTAAAATCAGCTAACCAGATGGGCCACTTTAAATCATTAGATTTGTTAAAGCACACTTAGAGCAGATTTGTCTGTTTCATTCCTCTTCTCTCATTTTTTCAGGTACCTCAATATTATTTTTTCCCTCGGGTCAGCATGAATGTGGCATAGGGAGCTGGTGGCCCCATCGCCCGGTCATTGTACCGCACGCAACTACTGGTCCTCCAGATTGGGGACATCCACTCAGTACACTAGTTTATTTTTTTATTTATAAGATACATATTTTTGGTAGAGATAAATTTGCTATCTACAATAGTAATGAGCAAATATGATAATGAAAAATATATATGACAAGAACAGAAAAAAAAAAAAAAAGAAAGAATATGAATAATGGAAAACAGTGAAAATAAAATATTAGTAAATTACAAAACTAAAGAAAAGAGCTAAAAAGACTCTACAAGAGCTCAGATATCGTAAAGGTGATTAAAGTAGGCCAGCTTCGATTTAATTAGGTCATTTAATTAGGATGGCCCAGGATCAGATTCCTAGATGAAAGAATTTATGGGAGAAGAAGAGTGGGAAGACCTCGGCTCCTGGGTCATTCTTATCATGTCATTGTGCGTGTGTCTGTCTATGAACAAGTTCTGTCTATGCGTGTGTTCTGTCTATGAACAAAAAGTCGTACGGAACTGAAAATATATTTTTAAGTTAGGTATATGCCTGGGAGGTAAGAGCAACTTTTGCTTTAAAATCAGCTAATCGGAAGTGCCATTTTATATCACTGTTTTTACACATTCTTACAAGTTTCTCAAAAGTGGCTTTAACAATTTTGATTACACTCACGTGTATTAATGTATAATTAAATGATATTTAATATCATGTAGGTCTGATCCACATTGGTGTGGCTTAACAGGGCTTTATTTAATGCCCAATTATCAAAATTTCTGCCTCTAAAATACCTTTAATTTGGTTTATTTTAAATAATTAACGATCTCTAATTATTAGCAGTAATAAAAGAAGGCTAAATGTAGCATTTGAAAGAACTTGATAATTGATTAAAGGAGAAAAGAGGAAGAGCATTTATTTAGGTTGAAAACAAATTTCCGGAAATAATAGTAGAAGATATACGCAGGGCCGTCGCATGGGTTTTCGGCGCCTGGGACAAGATTTTGCCAGACGTCCCCCATTTTCCATCCCAAATCTGTTAATAGTCTATTATCCCATGTTCAAATAAAGAAAGAAAGATTAATACGATTACAAAGAGATGATAATGATAAGACTTAGCGAACTCAAAGGTTCTATAACTACAACACCAATCGCCTTCTACAAACTCCAATTCACTGGCCACCATCAAAACCTAATCCCGTAAGATCAGACTTAACACAATCCTTCCACCTTTGCTTCAGTCTATCCCTCTTTTTTGTAAACAAAACATCTAGTTTTCAAAGGATTCTGTACGGAAGATCACACTAACTAGAAGAAAATTTCAGAATTTCCACTTTTTTACACATCTTATTAAATTGGAAAGACAAGCTATTTTCATGACATATAAACCTATTACAACATAAAAAAAATTAAGAGTGAACTAACTACTTGCTACTAAAAGATACTGATGAAAAAAATTATAAAGAACTAGAATTACCAATAACAATGGCATTGACACTAATGTATGTACACAAAGTAAACAATTTAAGTATCAAAAAGCTTATTATTACCTGTACGACTGAATGCAACTATCCAGTATCCCAAGAACTTTTCTTCGAATGGACACTCTTTCATCTTGAACATAAAACCTTAACATCAAACTGTTTAACTTTTCAAGCCATCTACTACGTGAAGGTGAAATGGATTTTGCTATATAAACAATTAATCGCTGAACAGATATTTCCTAAAATAAAAAATAAACAAGTATTTAGTTCCCCTTAATAATGTATATTCAATTGTTAGTTAATTATTGTTAGAAATCAGGAATTAAGGAATTGGAAAAAATCAGGAAAAATGAGTTAAAATTCTTTAAATATGAAAGAAGTTCAGTGAAAGTTTTTCTTCAACAGATATCACAATTACCATATTTAAGCTTTAAAACAATTATATTTTTAAAATCTAATTATATATTTAAAATCTAAAACAACATCAAAATTAAAAGAAGAGTTGAACTCAAAAAGATGTTTTGATGGTTTTATTTTTTATAATTTTATATGTTTGTATATATATACGTAAGTGTATTAAACTTAAATTAGTAATTATATAATTTAACAATCAATATTATATATAAATATATATATTGTACTTGAGTACATTTGATAAATGGTAAATAGTCATGGACAAACCATACAGTGCAAACAAAAGGATTAGATATCTTCATAAACCAGTTATTGTCTGGAGAACGAGTCTATATGAGTTTGACACAATTGATCATAACATCCTCTTACTAAATTGCACAAACTTCCTCTATCCAATAGTGCCCTGGGCTGCTTCAAATAGTTCCTTTCAAATCGGTCCCAGTACGTAGACGTCCCAGGTCAATCTCCATCTAAGACCTTTCCCCTCTCTTGTGATGTACCTCAAGGTTCCTCTCTCTCTCCTACTCTGTTCGCTATTTATATCAATGACCTTCCCATCCTGATCTGTCACACCCAATATCATATCTTTGCAGATGATTTCCAAATATACCTGTCCTTTCCGCCCTCCGACCTATTATCTGCCACAGAAAAACTTCAAGAAGGGTTGGATAGGATTTGTGACTGGGCGAGAGCTAACAAGTTGAAGTTGAATGCGGATAAGACAAAGGCAATCTTAATAGGCTCCAATCACCTCCTTAAAACTACTCCTAATATTCCAACTCTGTTCCTACATGATAATCCCATCAAATTCTACCCTTCCATCAAAAAGCTTGGAATGATCTTTGATCAAACGCTTTCCTGGCAAAATCATATATCCAACATCTCCCACCGTACCATTTCCACCTTAAAACGTCTAAATTACTCCCGTAATCTATTTCCCCTTGAAACCCGTAGGCTCCTAGTAACTTCCTTAATTTTTCTCCACTTTGACTATTGCTGTAGAGTATATGGGGGCGTCTCTGGGGATTTCGAGGCAAAATTAAAACCTTTGATAAATTGCTTTGTACGATTCATCTTCGGGATCCCAAGGGACGCCTCTGTTGCCCATTTTTATGCATAGTTGAAGTGGCTTTATCCTTCCTACCGTTGTAAGTATTTCCTGGCATCCTTCCTCTTTCAAGTCATCCAATCTCACCGTCTTTCATACATCTCCGAGCTCCTTCAATTCAAATCTTCTGTTCGTTCCCGCAATACTCGTTCCCGGTCTTCTGATTTATACATAAGGGCCCACCGAACCGCTGCTTCGACAGATCTTTCATTGTCCGATCCTCATTCCTATGGAACTCCATCCCTCCCGAAATCCATCAATCCAAAACTCTTCCTACCTTTAAAACCCACCTGTTCAATCATTTCTTATCCATCCAGTCCCCATGAAATTGTTAATAGTACTTTAAATATGTATATAAATTATCAGATCGTTCCTGATTATTCTTACTTTATGTTTATTTTCAATTTTTCATTTTTTTTTTATTATTAACTGATTTAAATTAGAAAGTAACTTATAATTTCTTTTATTATTTTTTTTAATTTGACTATTCACTTATACTATATTTTTGTTTATGTATCTCTGAGGCTCCTTAGCCCACATTTTTGTCTTTCTGTATTATTCTAAAGGGACTTGTCCCAGAATAAATAAAGCATTATTATTACTATCTCATCTATTTTCCTTTTTGTCTTAGGCCTTGCAGATTAAGGATTACGAATATAGTTTAAGATGTAAGGTATCAATTTTCCTTTGAAGTCTTCTCTTCCATGTGGTAATCCACTATATCCTGTTGGAAGTTTATTTTTACTTTTACCTTTCATTTTTATGCCCAGTTCTAATGCAACTATCTTGGCAGCAATATATAGCCATTTACTTCTTCAAAATGGTCTTTTAAGATCAAATAAAACTTGCACCATACGGTGTTTAGCCATACATGATATTTTGCATACAACCATTCCATTCATTCAATCATGGGGTTATCACAGGTTGAGGTGTTAGTTATTTGGTGTTGGAGGGAGACTGCATCCGATGACGAACTGACACAAGCAATAGTTAATAACAGGATAGAAATAGGAAGAGTCTGGGGAAAAGTAAAAGGGAAGATAGCGAGGGAAAAAAGGAAAAGAATAGATAAGGAGAACATGAAAATCAAGGATAGGATCGGGAAATAAAAATTGGGACGATAGTATATAAGAGAATAGGGTCCAATAGAGGGAAGGAGTTTCTACGCTATGAGGGACCATTCAGGATGATCATAATTCGAGAACATAATATTCTCACAATTCAAAGTTTGAAAGACCCTAAAAAAAGGAAAACTGTTCATGTTGAACAGTTAGGAGATAAGGTTAAGGTGTTAGCGTGGAAAGGTCTTATATTTGTCTCTATGCGTTTTTTAAAATTATTATTATTATTGTGTTCATATTGTTTTTTGTTTATTATTTGTTCATGTTAGTTGAGTTAATTTTATAGTCAAAATTAAGTGTATTTTCTTTGTGTCTAAACGTTTTAGTGTTATTTGTACATACTTTGGTAAATAGGGATGTTAGTTGGAAGTCACAAAGTTTTTAGCTTCATAACAAAGTATTACATAGTGGCGGAGGGTTAAAAGACAATTAACTATTTTCACTGAACAGGATGATATTCAAGTCAAAATTAATTTTGCAAGTATTATTTCCTTTTATCTGTTTTTAGGAAGGTTATAGGTTATTGATAAGAGAATATTATATACTCCCCTACCTACAGCTTTTATGTATCAATACAATGGCAAGCCCTCAAGACCCTCTGTAAACAGGGCTCAAAGGGGTTTTATTGATGGGCCAGATAATTTTGAAGAGAATAAAGCTAATAGCCATCTTCATTGTGCCAAGCGAATCCAGGACAATGTCCGGTTTTCCTTGGAAAATATAGCAAAAAAGATAAGTGTTAGTGCTAGAAACCAAATTAACAATGAGATACAATCTCTTGATGACATAATTCAACAATGGAAAAAGAAAAAAACAATGTGGGGTCTCGGTCATCATTCAGAGGGCAATAATAAAGGAAACACTTTCCTAACAGAAGGTTCACGACATTCTAACTCACATACTAGTTGAGACCTCTGTGCCTAAAGTTGCTGAAGCACTTACCACTTTCGGTGTGGTTCCTCACTGCCCTCATCCCAAGGCTAGTTCATCAAAGGAGCCAAAAGTACAGGCCACCAATAAAGGTATTGTAATGAATGAAACATCAGCCTCGACTGAACCCTTCAGAATGGTCGTAAGTAAAAGGAGCCGGAAAAGAATAAAATCTGGCAGCAAACAAATAAAACAAGAAGGTCAAGACAAGTCGAGAGAGCCTCTATCTGGACCGAAACCAGACCATGAAGAATGCAAACCAAAATCGGTGGTAGATATTGTCAAGTCACTACCGTGTCAATCAAATACCACAATCAATATACGTCACGATCCCCAGAAGAAATAAGTGTGAAGGCCTCTATAGTTCGTACAACTATGGGAGGATCCGTCTAGGTCCACCAAATGGGTGATAAGTCTGAAGCTACCAAAGTCATTGGTTCACAAGTGTTACGAGACAGAGGCCTTCAGGCCCGACTCGCTCCTAAAAAGAAACCTAAATTGGAAGTCAGAGGCGTTCCCCATGCCTGGAGTTCAATGCAGCTAGTGGAATTTTTATGGTGTAGAATTTCTGAGAAGTTGGCCTCTATCCCACTTGCCATTGAAGACCTCCGACCTTTGTTTTCTTCAATGGCAAGAAATAGTTTTACAAGGAATCGAGTCATCGAAGACCACCCAATGGTAAGGTTTTCATTACAAAAAATAGGAACCTTGGATGGAAGTCAATGACCTTCAAAGACTACATTGAAGCTCCTCGATGCACAAAATACCAGGACTACGGCCAACATGCCAGGCAAATGGAACAGTCTGTATATGGTGTGCTGCAATACTTAAGGACTGCCCGAAGAAGAAAGAACAAGTTGGAGCTTCTTGCATAAATTGCCTGTGGGTGAATGTACCATCTAATCAAATAAAACACAAAGCAGGCAGTTCGGGAATGTCCGGTGCATTTGAAGTGGGCCAATGAAATCGCAAAGAAGACTTTCTATGAATAGAATCACCATCCTCCAACTAAACATGGGCCACCGTCGTATTGTGTCAGATGAACTTCGTGCTTTCAATCACCGATATGACATCATGGCGGTTTAGGAACCACGGTTCTGCCATGGTCACAGGATTTGGCCTCACATCGAGGGTTATAGCTCTAAGCAGTGAAGAGAGAAGGCCCAGGGCTGCCACAGTGGTTAATAACCTGAACCTTGATGTGATGGATCTGAAACAATATACCATAGCGGATTCAGTCGCATGTTACATCAGGTGGAGAAAAGTTGCCTTCACACTAGTATCAGCTTACCTACCAGATGGTAACGATACCGACCAAGACATAATCGCCATGGAGATGATCGCAGCTTGTACAAAGAATGTGATCATCTGCTCAGATACCAACTTCTGGAACACGGTTTGGGGATCCAATCGAATGAATAGAAGAGGTGCTAAACTAGGTGAGTTCATTGCTAGAAACCAGCTTGTAATACTGAACGATCCCTCTGCTAACTTTACATTTTTTAGTGCAAGGGAACAGAACTGGATTGATGAGATGCTGGCATCGCCGGTGCTAGCAAACCACATCGTCGATTGAACTCTCCGATCTGAAACGAGTTCCAACCACCAAGCATTATGTGTTAGGATTGTTGAAAATTCAGTAAGTTCCCACAGTACTGTGAAGGGTTATGTAACCTGAGGAGGAGATTGGAATGCCTTCCGATCAACACTGGTGGACGATGAATGGGATGTGGAAGAGACAGATCATACTGATGATCGGGATTACAGTGTCCAGGATCACTGATATGATCTGTGATGCTGCTGAAGAATCCCTCCACCCCCAGAAGGCGAGAGCTCGACCTGTCCCATGGCAGACACCTGCCTTACATGAAAAGAGAACTCTACAAGGCTCAGCGGTTGTATCAGAGGTGCAGTTGCTACGAGAGGCTCTCTGCACCTTGTGATCAGTACAAGTTCAAGGTGAGAGTATAGCGATACGAGATGCCTTCACAGAAGCGAAGATCCTGGGACAAGTACATTGTAAAAAATTCAACGAAGAATCCCTGGGGTGTCCTCTTTTATTCTGGATGATCCATATGTTTGGTCGAAATACCAAGTAAATCAATGAGGCAACATTTTATACATACATTTAAATTAGACCTAATAACTTTAGATCAAAAAAAAGAGTTTTGTCTTCAATTATTAATATATTCATACAGAATATTTTTAATAATACCCAGACAAAAGATTTTTAATGGATTATAATTTAATTCATTAAATAAATAATAATACAAGTTGTAATGGTTTTAAGAAAAAAACATATGTATTTATATGTGTGTATCTATGTATATTTATAATGACTGATGCATAAATAAAAAAAATACTTACAGGTCTAGAAGAAGAACATTTTTCGACAATATCAAACACCATTTGTACTTTTCCATTAAATTTATTATCTTCTATTAATGATTCTATTCTATTTAATGTTTCATGAAGATGGCTAAAAACTTGGTTCATCCAAAGGTTTGGTCTGTTTTTATCTATAACTTTTTTTTCTTTTTCTAATTAAAATAAATGATTGTTAAATAGATTACCAGATTTAATTTCTCACAAATATTAGAAAAATAATTACCAATATACAAAACTATATGCATCATGATTTGCAAAACAACAGCCCAAGTGGGATCTAATAAAAAAGGACCTTGTTTCTTTACCATCCTTTGAACTGTCAGCATCACTTCATACATGATAAGAGTATGTTTGCATCCCATCGCCTGAAAAGTAACACAATTTAAATAATTTTATTTCTATATTTCTACATTTGATAATTTATAAAATTAACATAAACCATGTTATAAAGCAATTGTCTCCAAACTTTCATCAGTCAATTTACTCTCATTATTATTTACTTTAAATAATGTGTAGATTGGTTGCCACTATGAGAGGAGGAAGTTCTCCAAAAAATTAGAAACTTTGAGAATTGATAACCCACCTCAAACTATGAAAATTATAGCAAAATATATTACTTTAAGAATTAATAAAATTCTTAAATAACAATATCTTTTAAGTCAGAAAGTTGGAATTTTATCGATACAATGTTACGTTTGTATAGAAAAGAAAATTATTATTGTTAAGAGTCGAACAAAGCAAAAAATTCAAATACAAAAGAATTAGGAAATCAAAATATCTTTTAACTGAATAAAAACAATAGCACTATTTATCTGAACTAACCAAAGCCAGCCCAAGTCCAGATACTGAAATATCCTGTAAAATTAAAACAATTATCCATAGCGAAAAATTGTAACAAGGAAAAAATAATAATACAAGGTATGAATAATATATTTTTATTTACACAATTAAACGATTAATTATACTTGAAAGTTTGTAAAACTCCTGAGTCTTATTCCATGACCAGACAGAGAAAATAGAACAAGTTAGTAGGATTAATCAAACAATTATCAGAAATGTCAAAGGATAACAGGAAACAGACAAGCCTAAACCCACAATTTAAATTCAAAGAACCAAATTTTAATATGCTTAGGTATCTAATACAAAAACAGTGAATAAAACTAAAGGATTATTAATTTTAAACATAAAATTTAATTACATATAAACTAAACTTTATTTTACTTAATTATAAAAAGTTCAATATAAAATTACTTATACTAATAAAATATAAAAATTAGTGTTCCATAGTCAACTACAGCTTGTTCATTCTATAAAAACTACATGCTATATAAAAACTTGAATCTTTTTAATTCTGGGTTGACAACAGACAAATGTATTATTCCAATTTCATAGACAAAACAAACCAAAATAAATCAATCTTAAATGAGATTGTCTGGGTAATAGACAGTCCAGTTAAATGACATCTGGATAGTTGATGCACTATTGTAAGCAGTAATTTTTAAAATTTCAATTTTAAGAAATTTTGTTCTGATTACTGAAATCGTTGAGAAATTTTATATTTTGCCCTCTTGAAAAATCACTGAAGCAATATTCTTTCTAGGCCATAGTTTGTATCAAATATTATACATTAGGGATTGAGAAAACACTTTTATTATTCAAATTGAATCATATTTCTACAATTAATGATTCCTTGGTTGTTACCTGAAACTAATGAAATCGATTTTCAAGCAAAAATTAAGCAACCATATTGATTTTTCATCAAGATTTTGGGAATAAGTACAGTTCATTTTATTGTTCCTTCATTCTAGCACTACAAATCAAGGTGAGCCAGGACTTCCTGTTGCATCAACCACCAGTCCTATCGGTGTACTGCCACAGCTTTCAGTTACTTACTCATGTAAGGAAAGGTATATATGTAATTTATTTTTAAAAAATGATTATTTTTAATTTTTATTTTTATTAAAATCAATAATGAAACATTTTGTTTATGATCTAAGAGGTAAATGATTCTTGTTTCTATAAAGGATCTGAGACAGATTAAACGATATAGAAACAATTTATATTATATTTTATTAAATTGTACATATATAAAAATTAAAAATAAATAAACATTTTTGAATGTGCTCAGTTAGCTTAAGATGATCTTATTCCTCTTTAGCTAGATATCGAGCAATAGTGCTGACTAGTAGTCCACTGAGAAGTGAGCTTGCATGTCTGCTGAGAAGTGACTTGGTCAGAGGACGGCTGAAAGGTGACCTGATCTGATGCCACTTCACAGTGAACTGGCCAAAATAGGGTAGCCAAGTTAGTGATTTATTTTCTCCTTAAACTTATCTAAATATTTCCCTGAATACGCCAACTTAAACATTAAATGTTTAATTAAATTGAAAAAAAATTTTTGCACTATTTTGGCTTCAATTGAGAGTTCTGATGAGAGCCAAGTACTGCATAATTCTATAGTTTTACAGTAGATTAAATGGGTAAACACAACAAAATATTGATCAACAAAAGTTTATTTTTCTATTGTTACAAAAATTCTTATTTATGAGATTTTCCAGATGTGAAAAATGGATATCAACTTAATAAAAAGTATTTAATGGGATTGGGAAGTGTTTATCCTCTATAATATCTCAACAATACATCTAGTATTTTCATTTTTGAACCACATCAGGACAACTTACTTGTTCATCTAACTCATTTACTATATTCATAGACATTCCAACAAAGGGTTGCCTTAACTAGTTTAAGCATTTGGATCCAGCCAATCATCCTCCTGCAGACCCCAGCCAGCCATTTCCTCTTGGACTCCCTCCATCTACCTACTTCTGGGCTGTCCTCGTCCTCTCTTCCCTGGTGAAACTCAATCCAGGACTTAGTTCGGCCAACATTCGTCTGACATTGTTCTCATATGCCTGTACCATCTTAGGTGGCGTGCCCCAATCCTTCCATTTACTGACGTATCCATATCCATTGTCTGGCGAATTACTTCATTTTTAATCTTATCCAGCCTGGTGACACGGAGTCATCTTCTCCAGAAATCCATCTCAATCGCCAGTACCTTTGAGCATAAACAGAAGGTCATTGTCCACGTCTCTAAAGTATATGTCAGGATAGCTTCCACTATGGCTGTGAAGATTCAGTGCTTATTCTCTGTAGAAATCTCTGTATTCCAGAGGACTGGATATAGCATTCGGGTAGCCACACAAGCTTGTTTCACCTTTCTTCTGACGTCATGCTCAGAGGACTTTGCAGCATCCAAATAAGAACCAAGGTACCTGAAAATAATTATCTGTTTACAGGCCTCTCCGTCCACTAGAAGCTCATCAGTATCAGTATTGCTGATGGCATTGTACTCGGTCTTTTCAAAGTTAATTTTTAAGCCTATTGTTTCATATTTACGGCAAGCCTTTAGCACGAATATCATCATTTTTAGACAGATCTTCCGTCTTGCAAACACGAACTGGTTGTCAGCAAAGAACAAGGACAGCAACTATCCGTCACCAACAAATGGCCCAACATTTCCACATTGCTCATACCTAGGCTTCACTGATTCTGTAGTAAATGACCTCTACCTACTCTATTAAGTGACATTGAATGAGGGGAGAATAAGAAATGTATAGAGATGGAATGAGTACATTATGAATTGGACTCAATATGCAGAAAAACAAAGAAAGGAAGAAGCCTGGAAAAGTGTCTGGCAGGTGGCAGCAGCTGGAGAGATATGCTATAGGGGAGAACAGAAAGAGGACACTTAAGGCTGGGATGTGAGGATGAAAGGTCGTGACAGCAAGAGAGAAGCCCACTCTACAGGAACTTAAGATGAGGAAGGTCAGACCTACTTTTATAGGACTTTTAAGTAATGTATTATTTACAGTTTGTAAAAATAAATTAGCTTCATTATTTAGAAGTGGATGTTCCCTTTTACTTAGTTGTCCTACATGCATCAGTAACTGACAGCCTCAACATATTTACTCTTCCCATTATTTCATATTTATATTTATTATATCTTGCCACTCAATGTCACAAAAGAATTAGGTAACCTAATTCCCAACAACAGTAAAGACCCTCAAAATTTTATCCAGAGTTGAGGTTTTGTTGTAAAATTAAAAATCACAGGTGTAAATAACCAAGACCTCCCTACAAATGGAAGATTATTTACAATTTGTGCAAGTATATCTAGAAAAGCTATACCCTTGCTTCAATTTCTTGGTAAGATTAAAAGGGTCAGAAAGATGATTCCCACATGTCTCACAGCCTTCATCTAACCAAACTACAAAAAAAAAAAATATTTTTCACATATATAGGCTAGGCATATTAGCAAAAAGATGCTCAGAAACAAGTTTTGCTTTTTTCACTCTGTGTGTTTTATGGGTCGCTGAACACGAATTTGAAGTTTGCTGGCAAAAATTTTGCCCAGAACTTTGTTTTTTGGGCAAATTTTGGCACTTTTTTCAGTTTTCGGCCTATATCTCAAAAAGGAAGCGTTTTTTCGACGAACTCATTCTTCACAAAATTAAAGAAGACAAAACTGCCTACATTTCTTATACAAAACTTTTTTTTTTGTAAGATTAACCCTTTCGCTGCTAGAGTGCGCCAGAAAGAGGCAATATTTTAATATTTGATGAAATTTATTGATTACACGGAAATTGCCTTTGGTGAGATTCTTCACTGTTTAACAATTTATATGATATAAAAGAACATTTTTCATAAATAACGTTGTTTTTCAAGTCTAACCCGTTTCGACATAGAGCCGGACCCAAAAGGGGTCATATTTCCATATCTGTGAAATTTCCAATATAGAAAACAAGTTTTGATAAAAATTTTGAAGATTGGGGTTGGCAACAAACAACAAATGGTGTGGAACCGATCACCTCTCTACAAGCCCCTGCTCCTCCTGAACTGCTGCGTTTGGTATCATGCAGATGCACCAACGCCTGCAAAAAAGCAGGTCTCAAATGCACCAACCTGTGTTTCAATTGTAAGAGGTGGTGCAATAATGTGACAATCGAGACAGAAGTTACGAGTAACGAGAAAGGATCATTCGACGTCGAAGTTCAGGACGAACTGGGCTTCACTTTCTCACCAGTTGTTAAGACCATCAAAGAAATTAGGGACAAAGGTCATGAAGGTATGTATCATTTATTTCCCAAAAAGATGATACTCTCACATTTGAAGCATAACTGTACATGACTGAAGTACTTAATAAGAATATACAAGCTAACCCATATCTATTATTCACTAAAGAATCTCTACCACTTAAAAAAATAAGGATTTTAGATGATAGACGACTGAAGAGGGTGTGACAGTTCTTTGAAAAACGAAGGTATGTACAACTTGAGTATCTTAAACTTGAGCAGATTACTCA